TTTAAAATCGCCAACAAATTAAACAATTTCTCCGTTTTCAACACACATAGTATTAAAGGAATACCTAAATAGTATGTTAAAAGTAAAATGAAAGAACATTAAAGCTCACATATTTATTAAAAAAAAAATCAGTAAACAAAATTCATAACAGCATTCACTGGTATTGTGACAATATTTATCTAAAGAAACAAAGTCTCGGGTTCGTTGTTGTTTAATTCCGACACAAGCGCAAGCTTACAATGAGTTTTCACTTTCTAAACTTCTGTACAAAACAAATTGTTATCTCTGGTTATCAGAGGGGGTGAGGGGGACAACAATATATGATCTTGAACATTTTTACAATATTTATTGAATCAATGTCTTAATTCATCATCAGTTTCGACAGCCTCGCAGCTATGATACTTGGAAGACGTGTCAGGACAACTGTCGGCGATTGACAGGTCATCAGAGGAGGCGGCGGGCGCCTCGTGCTCCGCTAGAGGGATCAGTTCCTCATCCTCCTCAACATACGTAGTGGCCGCTATACCATTGCGCTTGTGATTGCTCAGGTGCTCAGACTCACGGTTCCAGCAATCTATTGAAGTAGTAAAATTTACTGCGCTAAATAAAAAGAATAATGGGCATACAACAGGGCTAAAAGTCAGAAAAGTCTAAAACATCGCTACGCTAACCTTTGCAGGTCGTCAGCCAGTAAAGTGTCTCATAATTGTGACACATACAACAAAGATGAATTTCAAAATACTCATATAAAATATTTGAAAATTTAATTGATCAATAAAGTATCTAAGGTTGAAGAAAAAATAAATTGAAAAACTTACTTGGTCGTTTTTCCGGCGGGACCGGTTGTACAGTAGTGGGCGGTGGAGGTTTACTTGCTGAACGCAACCTCCTTGGACTTCGAGCCAGCGCGTGCGAGATGCTCGGCAGTCTTATATCTAAATGCGATCCTCTCTCTGTTACGATTTTATTATTCATCGCGTACAACTTGGTTGTTATATCCCGAGCTATTAGTGTTGTCACCACACAAGCTAAGTAAGGCTCTTTTACAAAGAGATATTCTAGCGAAGTGCGCTGCCAGTATACATAGCGACAAGATGATGCTGCTACAATAGAAACCTACGACAAAAACATAACTTAATACATATTATTCTTAGACCTCGTATAGACGTATTCCCCGAATACTAAATTGCATTTTATTTGGAAGTCTCGTCGGGCAGTAAAGTACTCGACAAGTCTCATACCGGGTAGTTTATCATGTTCTTTAAATCCTATGGTTTATTCCATTTTGACCACACGTTCGCCATTTATACAAGCAAATAAAGTAAACAAATACCTATAAGGACTTCTTACTTGATGTTTACTGTGTTATATATTTAAGTATACTATCTGCATATAGATCGTATCACGCTAGGAAAGGTGTGGTGGGTACTAAGAAATTACATAGTCAAGTCAGTTACAATTCAGAACACTCCCTGTTGTTTCTTAATAGAAAACTTATTAACTGATGGACTATATATTATTTACATTTAGAAGGGGTTGCGTAATTAAGCAATTAATTAAATATATTTTATTAACTTTTACCAAGTAAAAATGCACACTAACCGTGTAATGATTTATGAAACGATTTAATCAAAGTTTTAATTCAAAATAAAGTTTTACGCGCCAAAGTAAACTTTACAGTGCTTTCGAGCCGTTTTAGTAATTTAATGATGTGTAAGGTTAAACGTGTGCTAACATTGACAAAGCTGTTATGTTTACTTATAACGATGTGTAAATAATGTTAGTTTAAAAATTATAATTTGATAAAGTTAATTTGTTAAGTATTCCTTTTTTGACTTGTTGAGTTTGAACTCATAATAAAATTAGAGAGAACAATGCATACGTGCAACAGTTATACACAACTATAAAATAAAACTTAAAATGAAATCTATTTTATTATACAAATGCGGTTTAAATGTAGAACAGTTATGATATAGTGATTTATATGGATGTAGTTCAGCCCATTTCTCTTCTCCCTAAATAATGAAGTCATCACCCCGGGTCGGCCGTGTTTGTTACGGCCATTACCTTATTTAACAACCTGACACCAATAAACGAGAATGTTTGTAAAGTCACTAAAATGATTTAATTAAAAACACAAACTTTGATCCTTATTTCTAAAAAATCCAAAATCTTTAAAATGCACTATACTAAACGATTAATATCAAAAGTGAACAAAATTACGAATTAGAGAATATAATTAAAATAAGTTCATATTTTAGTTGCGCAATTTTGTAATTTGTAGTAGTCTCAATATTGAAGTAAAAAAAAACAATACGTAAGATTTTTAATCTCAGAAACGCCTGCGATGCTTTTAATTACCAAAGTATTAATACAAGAAAAAGCTATGAGCGAACTTTTTCATTTATTTCAACATCGTAGCATCCTGAATTCATTTTGCTGGCCTATGGTTCTACGTTAATATTATAGAGATAAATTTATAAGTGTAATATACATCTTACCTTAAACTTTTCATCAATTGTAGCTCGACTTGATTCGAACTCAGGTGAATCAAGAAACTCACAAGGAAGTATCGGATGCAGGAACTGATGACCGCTCATTACATTCACCTATTTAACAGTAAATAATAAATAATCACGGTTAAAATGAGTTTCTTTTTCCGAAACCGTTTATCGGTAGTAGGTGATAAAATAGAAGGGTAAATGGGTAACCGTTTTCAAATTTAATTTTACGATTCACATACATCGATATTATGAAACGAGCTCAGAAAAAAATATACGTGTTTTATCAAAGTTTTGTTTAAAATAAGTATTAAGTGAAGTGTATCAGAGCGGAGTGAAGCACGTGCTAGCCGTTAACCGCCGCGTCGCAAACATTGACACGTGCGCACACAAAAATTGTTTCAAACGCCCGCCGTCACCACTCGCTGAATACAAATTACAATTTGCATAATTTCACGTAGAGAATAAACTCGAGCGATACCCATACTCACTAGGTCGGTGAGAAATTACTGGTAGAAGATACAAGAGTGAAAGTGTTTATTCCGTATATCAGCAGGTATACGTGTTTTTAAATATTTCGGTAGCTCAAGGTCATCAGCGCACTGCGCATTGGTCTCCGTCGCGTCCCTTTACACTTCGCTACGCCTAACTCGTGCGATGTTACCTTTCCTGAGAGCAGCAGTCCGAGACGGTCAGTTTTAGTTAGGTTCTGCATGGCGTAAGCCTCTCCTGCGTGCAGCGACATCACGTGCGCGAAGTCCGGAGACACCATCCTCTTGAACTGAAGTCTTGTTACCTGACCAAAACGTTACCCTTTACTGGGCATCTTGGGAAAAGTGGCAGAAAAAGACAATTTTATTGCTGATTAATTTAGATTTAGGGCCTACAATATAGATCCTATACTACCTACGACGTAGATGCTGTACGGCCTACGACGTAGACACTGTACGGCCTACGACATTCACCGTGTAAAACGTAGACGATGCACTGTCTGCGGCGTAGAACCGTAGCCGTACTGCGTACCTTGAACGGTTCAAAAAGCGTGTGATAGACCTCCTCTAGTTCCGGATCAAACTTCACCGGTCTCATCTGGTACACCAGATACACAACCTGGCCCAAGTTTAAGAAGACGAATCCGAAATTCCAGGAAAACGTGTCGGGGGAACATATCACGTGCCAGGCCCAGATCGAATTCAGCATGAAAGCTTTGAAAAAAGAAAATCGATAAAACATATGAGTCATTAAACGGTTTTTATAATTATCAATGATTGCTATCAATAGTCATTCCAATTCCATAAGCATATAGGACGAAGAGACAAAAAATAGAAGTAAAAAGAATTCAGGCGTTAAAAGTGGAACTCAAACGCAGACACATTGACTCACCAAAAATTAATATCGTATGCATCCACAGCTGACCCTTTTTTGTGCTTGGAGCGCAGTACGATGCAACGAAAAGCATGTTGGAGAGCTAAAGATAAAATATTAACAATTTGGTACATAAATAAGTAAATTATCTCCCATTTTACGCAAACACATGCCTAAATTAACTAAATCTTGACGCTACATTGTCATAAATAAATTCCTAATCCCCAAAACAAATTATTGTAGTTAAGAGGATTTAGCACTAGTACAAGCTAAAGTACATTTACCTGGAATAAGGGATGCTGTGAAACCTTCCATAACGGACACCAAGGCCAGTACCATGGACCTGAAAAAATAATAAATTAGACCCGGTCTAAATATTTATCGTATTTCTAACCAAAATAAGACTGAACTAGAAACAAAAGAAAAGGTCAAAAAGGTATGTTGTTGGGAAACAAAATTATTTAAAGAAAAAGCTCACCTGGCATTGTGTAATTTATTGAACCAATATCATGAAATGTACCATTTTCTCCAGGCCATGTAAAATTATATTCATTTATCTCCAAATATTCACTTTTAAGTCCCATTAAATCACTATGTTGAGACATTTTGGAAAAACATCAATTTTTTTTAAAGAAACGCCCCCTTAGTGATGTTATGTTAATTTTTAGTGCTTATCAATGAGCAGAACAGAACAGTAATTTTTCTAAAAACCAAACACTGTGTAATTGCCGCCAAAAAATCAATAACAGCTACAACTGCTTTGATTCGTCAGACAATGTGAATAAGAGCCATCTAGGGAAACGTGGTGAAACTCGAGTTTATGGTTCATTTTGATAAGATCTGTGCCTTTTCAAAATTGTAATGATATAAAGAGGTAGACAGGTCATTTTAAATTTCCGTGCGAGTAGTGCTTCTTTTTTGTGTTAAACGCAGTTATATGTATCCATTGAATTTGATGTAACCGTTTCTTCAATTCATTTATGTAATTTTTTTTTTATCTCAATAATGATTTGTGTATTTTTTGTAAATAAATGAAAACCATGTTGCTGACATCCAGTTTTGTCCTGTCTTTATTTCTTTATAAGGCTGTGGAAATCTGTCAAGCTCAAAAATAAAATTATATTGACGTTTAATTCTATATCTATGTGTCTACGGTTTTATTCAACCACATTCAAGTTCATCCTTTTTAAAGGTGTGATGCGAGATTGGGCTTGTATTTAGTGGATTCCTGTAGAATATTTTGCGATGAGGTAGCATCAGTTAAAAGAAATAACGTCAAACAACAAAATATTATGCCTTAAGTTATTGTGTCATTAGAAAGATCTTCAAAATGCCGAACATGAGTAAATCCTCGGTTGTCAATGGTAAGATACTTGAGTAATAGCAATAAGATTTTATATTATAAATATACTAAGAAACGTGGACGATTTATTATAACATATCCTAACAGCTTCATTTTAATTAAATATTTCACAATTCACTAATGCTAATTTGAGATAAAATGGTTTCGTGTAAAACATATATTTTCACGTTTGCTTGTTAGCAACATATAAAATATTAATGTATTTGTTGGCAATAATGAAAGAAACTACACCTTATGTTTATAACTGATATCTTAAACCACATTGTCACATCATATATTATATATTTGTAGTCTAAGTCATTAGTCATACTTTGCAAGAACTATTATTTAGCTAACAGGGAGTTTTATCGCATACAATATTATGTTATTGTTATATAAATAAAAATCAGTTATAATTTTTAAAATCATGTTTAAAAATAGTATAAGGTGTCCAAACTTTAAAATTATGGAACAATACAGTATGTAATAACTATACTCAATAATATACTGTTACACTTTCTTAACATGTAAGAATGAATAAAAGAAACTTAACAATGGTCACAGTCATCTAAGACCAACTTATGTTGACCAGATGGACATCCGGGTGAAGGTGCAAATATGAGTGCCTAGACTGCACCAAATCAAAGATTGTAATCTCAGCTTACCATTCAAAACCCAGGCATGACTTATATAGCTCTTAGTTGATGTAATTTCCCAATATATTTAATCTTACTAATATATAAATATAAAATGTGAATAGCTCAATATAAATGTGAAAGCTGAGATATCTCTAGAACGGTTGTATGGATCTGCGTGACATTTTGCATAGTTCTAGATCACAGTCTGAAAGAACACATAAGCTATTTATTAAGTTTTTTCTATTCCGCTCAGACAGAGTTGTGGGTAACAGCTAGTTGAAAATAAATTTATCCTGCTAAAATTTATGTTGTTCAAATACTACTTAGTATGAGCAGAAGTGAACATTGCACTCAATTGGGTTTAAATGATTACAATAAGGGACAGTTAAGAAGTTCAATTAAAGCAATCAAGTTGCAGTACAACCTTGATGACCGACATTAGCATTTCAGTCTTGTTTATTTTTGAAGATGAGACTATGTTGAATCACTAACTTAAATAATATGTATGTTATCTTAATTTCATACTAGTCACACTCAAAAGATAAAAAAGTAATAAAAATAATTTTATAAATACAATCACTTCACAAACACATGCTTAAGCTATATTTAGTAGCTACCCAACCAAATCTGGTGTTAATTTTTTTTTGTATTAGTTAGAAAAAATAAAAGAAAAGTCTTATCTTAATTGTGCAATAAAGATAGTAATCTTATCTGTGTGTCAGAACCTTGTCATTTGTCAAATATTTGGCTTTACATTTTAAAACTACACTATGTATTTATCCTAATATCTATTTTATAACTTATATATTATATATTATTTTATATCATTCAATGATATCTTATTTTACAGATCAATGACATTGTAATAGCCTTGGTGAATTGATTAATTTATAGGTCATTTCTATTAGTCTTATTGAACTGTGTGTATCACAACATGTAGTATATTACTATTGCATTGTATAAAATCTTCTTAACTCAATAGTTAACATTTAGAATGTTTCTGGACTATACAATTGTTATATAAGTCCACATGTTAACTTTGATAAGTATCAATCAGCAGTAAAATTTCTAGTCAAGCACATGCTTTAATATAATTCTAGCAACTACCCAAGCATCAATGGCTCTAAAACTATATGTGGGTACAAATGATCTAACATATATTCTCCAACAATATAAAATAAGTTTAGTTATTCCATTCAAACACAATAATATATTAACATACAAGTGTTATTTGCTTCGAGGAGGAAAATTACTTGTAAGGGAATCCCCGGCTTCATCTTTAAGCAAAATTTCAAACCATTATAGGTTACCTTTTAGTGCCTTTAATACAATTTATAATTGTCTTTATGATGTATATATGACTATAAGTAGGGTAAGTGATGTATAAATTAAGATAACTGTTTATATTGCAGATGAGTATGAGGTAATCGGAGACCCACAATGGCAGATCTTCGAAAATGCCGTAGACGACCAAATCATCAGGATCCGTGGATACAAATATTCAAAATTTCGCTCGATATTATTTCACTCAGTATGTATTGCATTAGGTGGGCTGCCATATTTTGCATTAAGTAATTATCCAAAATATTACAAATTACAATACATAAAAAGCAGTTTGAAATTTGCTAATGTCATCTGCGGAAAATGTGGTAAGTGTTATTTTAACAAAATTGACTTAATGTAAAACTAAAGAAAACTATAATATAAGATGTTGTTTTTCTAAGTATCGCATCCTGAGAAGAAGTTCGACATGGAACCAGTTCATGAAGTGGACCTCAACCTCTCCAATCACCGAGATAACAAGTTGCGCTTCTTCATTTATCAACAAAACCGCTATGTTTGGCTGAGTGACCATGGAGTTTTTATCAACGTGCAAACTCTTAATGAAAAAATGACTATTAATTTGTTAATGGAAAACACGTGCGGTATTAATAAACGCCAGCAAAATGAATTGTAAGAAATGTTTTGTTTTACTACACTATTCTAATAATATATATATTAAAAAAAAACATTATTCTTAACTTTAATAAGGTTAATACAAAATAAATCTTAGAAAATTCAATTACCTTTTCATGTAAATAAACTTAAAGACAACTTAGTTTTATTAAATGGAAAACTTTATTTACAGGTTAAAGCTCTATGGTTACAATTCCGTAGAAGTGGATGTGAAGAGTTACTGGTCATTATTCACAAATGAAGTCTTCAATCCATTCTATTTATTCCAAATCTTTTCCATTATCTTATGGTCACTGGATGAATACTATCAATATGCAACCTGCGTGTTTTTCCTTTCTGTAGGCTCTTGCATGCTGGCTTTGCACCAAACTAAACAGGTAAGATATTTTTGTTGTTTGAAAATATCTTTCATTTTAAATGGTTTTCATTTGTTTAAAATTATCATAGCAGCATTTTCCTAAGAAGTAGGAGTTTATAAACATATTAGTATGAAAGTCATATTTGCGAAGAAACAAATGTTTGTGGCAGACGACAAAAATAAATGCGAAACTATATTTTGTTTCATACACGACATCGATTGTACAAAAAAAATTCCTTCCAACATCCAGTTCTGTGTTCTCTAAGGCTGTGATTAATGTTCTGTACCCAGATGAGCATAAAGCTGCACGAGATGGCTTCGTCAACGAATGCGCTTACGGTGCGCGTGTTGCGACCGACACGTGGAGGCACGGGGCGCGAGGAGTGCGTAGTGGCGAGCTCCCGGCTCGTGCCAGGTGACGTGCTCGTGCTGCCACCTGACGGCTGCATCATGCCATGCGATGCTATGCTCATCGCCGGCTCCTGCATTGTCAATGAGAGCATGCTTACTGGTATGAAATGTTTTGAATACATATAAAAACACATCGCTTTTTTAGCGAAATCAAGTCTACTTGCACTTTTGCTCCTAATAAAAAAATCTTAAGTTTCAATCACTGTAGTCGACAGTTAGCCTTTATATTTTCATTGTCGGCTCGTGTCTTTTCAACGTATTAACAGCTAAGTCTTGCATCCCTTCTAAATTATTCTAACATATTTATTCATAAAGATTTTTTTTCAATCATGGAAAAATCCTGAAGACTTACGTAAATTGCAGGCGAAAGCGTACCAGTAATGAAAGGACCGCCGTGTCTCAGCTCCGAGGTGTATTCGACGGAAACTCACAAGAGGCATACATTGTTTGCGGGCACGCATGTTATACAAACTCGGTTCTATGGGAATAATCAGGTAAGTTACACAAATATGTTATTTATTAATTTAAATAATTAATAAATACATAAGTCACTAAATTTCTTCTTAATTTTTTAGGTTTTGGCTAAGGTTGTGCGTACTGGCTTCTATACAGCAAAAGGAGAAATGATCAAGAGCATTCTGTTTCCCAAACCATTTGTATTTGAGTTCTACAAGGACGCCGTCAAGTTCGTCATTTTCATGTTCTGTATCGCCGCTGTTGGAATGACGTATTCCGTTTGGCTGTACATTTTGCGTGGAGTAAGTATTAAAAAAGGTGAACAAGAGGTTAATGTGTGAATTTATTTAACCATAAAAACCTTAGTAAAACATGCGATGTGACCTGGCCTGGCTATAAGACGTGGTAGCTTGTGCCTACTTGATTTTCGCTATTTTGGCGCTGATGGTAGCGGTTTGTAACGGTGGTGTGGATTCGAACTTCGAAAATATAGATAGAATTAACTGTTACGTAAACATCAACAGCTTAAATCAGAACGAAGCAAAAGCTGCCATTTCCAATCTATCTCCTATCTATTTATAGAGCTCAGTGGGTGTGACACAATGTATATTGTTTTTTTTTGTTATTGTCAGAGTTCGCCGGGCACAATCTTATTGCGCACACTGGACATAATAACGATCGTGGTACCGCCGGCGCTGCCCGCCGCCATGACGGCCGGCATCGTGTACAGCCAACAGCGTCTGCGCGCCAACCAAATCTTCTGCGTCTCGCCCGCGCGCATCGTCATTTGCGGCAAGCTGCAGGTCATGTGCTTCGACAAGGTAACACATACAAATACACTCCTATACTACCTCTCTCTTCCGTCTACCTACTTACCCCACTCTTTTTCCCCCTCTCCCTCCTTCTCTTTTTCTCTCTCTGTATAGTTGAAGTTTTCTAATCATTTCTGTTGCAGCATCGTAACATAAAATAATTAAACACCGGAATAGTGATGCCTTTTGTAACACAAAAATAAGTTTTATCAGTCTATTTATATTTTGCGATGACCCTTGATCATTTTCCTAATTAGTTTATTAATTGTTACGATATATTTACTTTTATTTTCTCTGTTAGACGGGTACTTTGACCGAAGATGGATTGGATTTGTATGCGGTGATACCGGCAACTGAAGACAAGTTCGGTCGTTGTGTCGTTGATATAAACAGTCTGTCTACCACCAGCCCGTTAGTACAAGCTCTGGCGTCCTGTCACTCTCTCACCAGTATACAAGGCGAACTGAAAGGCGATCCTTTGGACTTGAAAATGTTTGAATTCACACAATGGGTAAGTTTTACGCAAGGCAAGGGAATTTTATTGTTATGGGGGAGTACATTAAAGAGAAAAGCAAGCATTTCCTCGTTTTTGTTATTCAGTGTCCCTTATTATTTTTTTTACATTTAATTGTATCAGACGTCTTGTCGATGTACAGACAGGTTATTTTTTGTTTGTTTTTTTTTTCAAGTTTCAATGAATTGGATTTTTAAATCCATACAGGTCCATTCAAATACATATGTGTATGGAGTGAAAATATTTTAGGTGCTGGAGGAGCCTGGTCCGGAGAACAACCGTTACGACAACTTGATCCCCGCCGTGGTGAAGCCGCGCACCGCAGCCAATGGAAACGCTCAAGATTTGGACAATTACGAAACTCTCATGGAAATGCCGTATGAGGTAACAATTTCATTAATTTATTAGTATTCTAATTCAAATGTATTATTCCTTTGATGTTAGCATGTAAAATTATCGTCTGTAACCGACTTTATAGATAACTATTTTTTTTTTGTTTTCAGATCGGCTTGCTACGACGATTCCATTTCTCTTCGTCTCAGCAATCGATGGGTGTTATTGCACGAGAGCTTGGACAACCGCAAATGGTGTATTTCGTTAAAGGCGCTCCTGAAAAGGTACATTAAATAAAATAATAATTCACCATACAATACTTGAAAAAAGAGAATGGTAAGGCAATCATGAAAATGAAAAGATTAGATAATTTTATTTTATTTTATAGATAGCCGGTATGTGTGATCCAAACTCTCTACCGGAGAACTTCAGCACTGTACTCCACGAGTACACGTCCAATGGCTACCGTGTGATCGGACTGGCTCACAAGAAACTGGATCGTAAGATGAAGTGGGTGGATGCACAGCGCATTAAACGAGATAACTTGGAATGTGATATGGTCTTCTTGGGCTTTCTAGTCATGCAAAACAGCCTAAAGAAGGAGACCACAGAAGTTATTAGGGAATTACATGATGCACAAATAAGACAGATTATGGTCACAGGTAAGGAAAAACAATTTAATCCTTGATCTTTTTCAAATTCCCTTTGACCATGATTTAGAGATGACCTGCCATGTAGATACCCATAGACCATAATATTGAGAATGCTTTCCATGTGTTTTTTTTTCTGACGAGTCTGCCACAAATATTTGACTCGAAGTTTAGATTTGGTGTTTCTATACTAATAAAGGATTTTTTGTAGGTGATAACATAATGACAGCGATGTCTGTGGCCCGCGGTTGCAGCATGGTGCAGCCTCACCAGAAGCTGGTGCTCATCACTGTCGGCACCCACCTCGGTGATGACGCGCGCCCACCACTGCACATGGAGGTATTATATTTTTCAGATCTATCATGCATATGTAATTAATTCTCACCTTTACGAAAACTTAAATCTTGATCAAATATATTTTAAAATGTTAAAAAGTTATATTTATTTATTTGCAGGTAGTCGGCGAAGACGGTCCGCCATTGCTGTCAATGGAGTCGTATGTGATAGCCCTCGAGGGCAAGACATGGGCCGTCATTCGCGCACACTATCCTGAAATGATGACGACTGTCATTAAAAAAGGTAGATTTAAATATTTGATGACTGTATATTAATTAATTATAATGAAGTTGTTCTTTACTCATAAATTTATAATCTAGAATTAGTGCTGATGATATAAAACCATCTATATATATGTAGACATTGATAATGACAAAAAACATTTTTGATATTGATTGAATGAGCACAGATAGTCTAGCACGAAAATCATCAAAAAATGTGTCCGTATCCACTTCGACAAAACTGATACGACATTTATGCAGTGCCTCTACCACTACCAGGCGTGTAACGTACACGACCAAATTTCTTTAATTTTGTCTACGACGTTACAAATACTGAATCGCAAATTTTCGTGCTAGGCCCCTCCATAAATTTTCGATAATGGGGCGTGTAATGTTTTAGGCATGGTATTCGGGCGTTTCGGTCCGGAGCAGAAGACACAGCTGGTGACGGCGCTGCAGGAGGATGGGCTGGTGGTGGGCATGTGCGGTGACGGCGCCAACGACTGCGGCGCGCTCAAGGCCGCTCACGTTGGCATCTCGCTCTCTGAAGCTGATGCCTCTGGTAACATTTTATTGTGACACAACTTAACTTATGTGTTTTCACAGTAAATATGGATTATTAATTTGGCTATTTTATGTTTATAGTGGCAGCGCCGTTTACGTCTAAGGAGCAGAATATTAGATGCGTGAAGCACCTCGCGCTCGAGGGCCGCTGCGCGCTCAGCACCTCCTTCGCCATATTCAAATACATGGCTCTGTACTCGCTCATACAGTTCTTCTCTATTCTCATACTATACAATGTAAGTTGCCATATGACGTAATTTTTTTGTTTAATTATTGAAAGAGAACAGTGTACTTGCGGTAGGACATAACTACTTTATAAAATAAAAGCAATCAGTAGTCATTAGCAAGATTAATTTCAATATCAGATAAACTATATTTTTTCGGGCCGTAAATTAAAAAAAATATGTGAAATCGATATTTCGGAAAGTTTCAAACGTAAGTTGACGTGAAATAGACAGGCTATAAGAGGTAGTATTTTGTGCCTATTTGAGTTTCGCCGTTTTGGCTTTTTGGATTTAGTTGTCATGTAATATCAGCCGGCACGTTTGAATATGAATGAAGCAAAAGATATCATTTCCAAGCAATCGCCAAATCCATTGAGAAAGTATAGGATAAATGTTTTTATTTTTTAAATTTCAGTACTTCTCGATCCTCGGCAACAATCAGTTCTTGTACATCGATTTGGTTCTGACAACTCTTCTGGCGTTGTCTCTGGGCCGCGCTGCGCCGGGCCCCGTGCTCACCAAGCAGACCCCGACTGTGTCACTGGTCGCGCTCTCCAGCATACTGCCGCTCTTGGCACAAGTGTTACTGGTGTTGTTACTGCAACTTGCCTCTTTATATCTACTGCATGCGCAACCATGGTAAGATATGCAAGTGTTACTTTTTCAGCGATTTACATTAGGTTTCTGGTAGTTTTGAAAGCTATGTAGTTGAAATTGTGCTTATTTGTAATTTTGTATCACCTTTAACGAGTAAATTCTTACATTTAATGGAAGCAAAAAATACGTCTCGTTATCAGTCGTTGATTGTTTTAGGTTTTAGAAGAGAAATTAGTTTACGTACAAGTAGAGTGATTTCTCAAACTGAAATATTTAGGATTTATTTTCTTGAACTAGGGTTGTCAAATTAATTCAGCAATCTTCTTTTTGAGAACAAAATCCTTTTTTGGGATTTTGTTTATTGAGCAGAGATCTGGTCAAAGATCATAAGAAAGACGACGATGTCTCTTATACAAAGATTTTGTTTTCAGAAACCCACAGTAAGATTGCAAAGAAAACTATTATAAATTTTATTTAATTTGATGCCATCAGGTACAAATCGGTGCAGGGCAACGGGGAAGTGGAACAGGTGCTGCTGTGGGAGAATACGGTGATTTTCATCGTCTCCTCCTTCCAATACCTCGTTCTCGCCTGCGTCTACGCCAAGGGATGGCCCTTCCGAGAACCATTCTGCTCCAACTGTACGTAACATAAAAGGAATCTATTTATAATTCAATACCTATCACACATCCATCCTTCCATCTATACATTCAAACATTCGCATTTATTATATTAGTGAGTTTTATTTGTAGAATCATTTTACAAGTTCGAAGTCACAGAGTATTTAGATATACATTTAAGGTGTATTCAAGACATTTAAATAATAAAAAAAATCATTAAATTTTTAAAGTACAATTAAGCTAAAAATATGTGTTCCAGATTACATGGTACTGACTTTGGTGACTCAGTTTGCGTTTGTACTGGTACTCCTGCTGTGCCCGTGGCCCTGGCTGGCTGAGGTGATGGAGATCATGCCGTTGAAGCTGCGCGACATGGACCAGACATACTTCCGCATATACCTCCTCATCATACCCATCCTGCATCTCGTACTGGCCATCGCCATTGAGGTATGTACTTGTCCCTCAAGTCCTAGTCCAAAGCTGTTAAATAGAGACATATCAAATAAATGGCCATTATGAAATTTTTATATTTTCTATTATTACAAAAAACATTCAAATAAAGTATAAACACAACTTAAGTTAATTTGTAGATAAAAAATAGCACTTCTCAGATGTGTAAGATTTTACCAGTATATACGTCTTATGTTATGTCGCGCATTATCTTTTATATAATTTTTTTAATATATTTAATGATATTAACAGGCAACACTATCCGAAGTAGACCGGCTGGGCTCTTTCTTCCGTACGTTCAGGCGACGTTGCGCAGTCAAGGAGGACGCGGCGGACCTCACGTGCCCGCTCTGGCTGCCGGACCCTGCCTCGCCCGTCTGCTGACTTCACACATCTCGAAACTGCTTTTAAGGTTTTTTTTTATTGTAGGATCACTGACAAATCCGCTGGATAGGTCACTGCTTTGAAATGACAGCTTTTGCATCGTTCTGTAAAAGCATCAGGCGATATTACTGTCGGCGAATAACATCTCTATTATTAATTCGAGTTTTCAACACTGCCAGCACCAAGATGGCGAAAATCGAATAGGAACAAAATACTAAAGCTTATAGCCTATCCAGTGGAATATAGAGGTCAGTGTATAAGTATTCAATATTCTTGGCGGCTCAAAGTGATCTTTGCGCAGCGCAGTGCCCTCCCAACGCAACCCTTTATGCCACGCTACATCTAAAATTGTGTCCTGCGCTCGCTGCATATGTTCCGAGCCGCTAAGATGTTTGATTTCCTCTATATAACTATTTATTATGTGTGTATGTGTACTTAGTCATATATATTTAGTAGTATGGTAGCCCAGAGCGGCGATAAAATTATAACTTAATCGATTTTAATGTAGAATGTGCAATGTTAGTGTACCCATTCCACATTTTATTCTATAAAACTCATAAATGTTGCACTTTGCCGTGGGTTTTCACTATTGATTCATACAAAAACATACTATCCTCCGTCTCATTATGTTTTTTGCAGTGAACATCCGCGGCTGTAACCATTACACGATTTTTGTGATTATTTGAACTTCGTCGTAACAATAATACCTGAATCTTGGAGAGATAACCAGCTTATAAACAGAATCTGTTTGTATGTATTGATAATTTTTTGTTAAGACTGACCTATGTGGCCAAAACAAAACGTTAGGATTAATTAAAAATGAAATCAAAATATAAATAAAACCGGGGATTTTGTTGTATTTTTTAAAATCATCGGAATGATGCAATTATCTGTAAGTGGAACACCGCAAATAGCCTTGACTGTACGTACTTAAACGTCTTTATGGCTAGTATTGTACTTACAAAATTATTCGCCGAAAATACGAACATTCTGCTTTTCAATTGCTAGCAGTAACCTATAACATTTTTTCAATTAAACCTGCTTAATGTACTTACATATTTACTTAAAAACTTTAAGCCTCGCGAGCGTACTTTTAAATTCTCAATGTATTGTACTTAATATTATCGATTTTCGACAGACTTGTGATTGAACACACACTTAATTGAAATGTACTATAAAATGTATCCTTTTAATATAAATTATTGTAGTACTTCATGTGGTTGTGTTATTTTAATTGTTTCTAAAGTATATCCATTAGTCATTTATAAGACATAAAAACTATGTCAGTCTCCTATTTGGTGTATAACTAATTTCTAAAGCTTCATATTATCCTGTAATCGTATAGGTTGTAACCTATTATTGTTACGACAAAGTGTGCTTTTTACCATTAAATTTAGTATCATTTTATACTTAATATTTTTTACTTCTACGATTTTGAAATTATTTTATACATTCTAATTAAAAATAAACTATCAATGTTTTTAATAAAAATGGATGCTTTTGCGTTTTAAATAAAGCTGAACATAATTACAATTTTTAGCAATTTTATACAATTAAATTTATTATTAAATTTGTTACTAAATTAAAATGGAAACAATGTCGATGTAGTACATAACAAGTTAGAGGCTGTTAAAAAAAAATAACACTAATGGCCATTATACAGAGGAGTAGGCAGAAATGATAGATTTCCATATGTTGCGAACCTTTTTTCTGGCCATCTTTTTTTTTCAAATAGTGTAAAAGAGGCCAGTAAGAATTATTTTACTGCCATAAACCTAAAAAGAAATAATTTAGAATATTTACGTTGCTTACTTTTGTGTGACTTAATTTTATGATTTTTTCTGTGTATCCATAATTATTTCATGAATACCTAAATGTACTTATATTTATTTGTAAAAATATCCAACAGTTATATATTATTTGTACTTATAAAATTAATTGGTACTATTTTAACAGTACTATAAGGAATAGCTAACGTAAGTAACATATAATCTTTTCCAGTAAATGTGGTTAAAAATATTTATGAATAACTAAGATTGATGTCGAATTATTTTTATTTTTAATTAATCGCTGCATTGAAAACAATTTCTTTCAATTTATTTTCATATAAGAATGTCGTATCTTTTAGTTTTTAGCTCTCAATTTTTTTAACAATACCTTGTTTGAACGCAGATAGGCTGGTCCTACTGTCTTGTCTATTTAGTTTAATTTTACTAAAGCTTCTTAGCTCTATTACTCCTGTGTTTTCACTGTTGACACACTTGTATAAGAACAAAATGTCGTCATCACTCTCATTCTTATTGAAAAAAAACATTGGCAATATGTTAAAATAATTAAGAAATGTAATGCAAGCAAAAATTTTATTAAAATTAAAAATAACATTTTTAGGACATAAACTTTCTCTGGCATACTCAATATCTAACCAAAGTATCATCACATTGTAACCAGTGGTGTCATAAATATAGGTACATTGATTTTGTTTAAATATACAAAGTTTTTTAAAACAGTGAGGTAATAAGTTTTTTGATAATATTCATATTTGAAAGGAAACTCAGCTGTGGTTTGATTATTGCGGCACTTTGACATAATTTTACGATAATTTCGATTGTAGAATAAATGTAATGTAATCTATTTATACTATGCTCTAAACATTTTGTTTGGCTTTTAGAAATCTTCGTAAATTATTGCTTTAGTAATATGCAATATCGTAAATACCCATTAGATCGTTAAGTATTATAAAGGCTATGCACCATTCCTATTAAATTAGCGCTAAGATTTTGTTGCTTTCGATTTTAGGTCCTATTGTAATCAGAATTGTAAGGATACGCGCACACTACTGTGTTAAGAAAACGTATTCTTTTCAATTTATTATCGAATGAACTGCATTATTGTGCTTTTTGGGAACCTTGTTATTTGTACGTATTTACTACTCGAATATTTTGGAACTTGTTGACTGTTTTTGTATCCAATCTTTTTGCATGATGATGTAGTTCGTTTCAAAATTTCTTTCTCTCCGAGAGACATTTCTTTTAGATTGATGTGACCAAAAATTTTAATAAACGTAAATATTTATGTGTCAATTTTTGTTTTATTTAAAAAATTACTTTAAAGAAAAATGGTCGTTTATAAGTTAAATCAGGGCAGGTACTGTGTGTAGAGAGGAGGCGGGGAATACTTTGGCGGCTGCAAGTCTTTCGCCTTCACTTGCAGAGGACGTGCATCTTGTGGTTCTGGCGGCTTCTTCCACCTGGTACACGAACATCTTGTAAATAATATGTACATAATATAGGATGCAACATTTTTTCTCTATGGTATCCAATCACCAAGTCTGGAGCCAGAACTCGTGATCAAGCTTCCGAGTCGGCGATGTAATAATCAATAAAATATCTTAAATTTTCGGTGACACCACCATGTCCTAGTGAAGCAGACCTTACCAGGGCACGAGGCTGAGGTTGTAGGGCGGCTTGGGACGTGCCAGTCGTTCAGCGCGCTCGCGGCGCAGTGCGTCCCCGTCGCGCCACGCGGCGCAGCAGGCGCGCAGCGTGAAGTAATACACTAGCTCCACTCCAGATAGCAACGAGAAGCCCAGGAAAAGACCCGCTATGCCGCCAAACGATACTGACCAAAATTGCTTACATTGATTACAGTTAGCTTACGTGGAAATAATTTTTAACTGTAAATTTACCCTATCTACACAGTAAGATCGCACAGTGAAGGCATTTATTCTTTGAATTTCGCCATTGCCCACTCAAAGGCACAAAAAACTTACCCAACAAGTCAACCCATCCGAAGAGCACCTCGCGTTTGTACCTGACCATTGGCCACGAAACAAACTCCGTCTCCAGAGCGTTAGACGCCACCGGACCTTTGCTTGAGCTTTAATAAAGCACAAAATTATAAGATGAACTGTTACGTAGACTAGTTCACTAGTAGATGTTGTACTGACTCTATTTCAGTGAGCTTCTCCACCTCGTAGACGGTGTGGGAGCAGCCCAGCTCGCAGGTGCAGCGACTCACGTCAGTGATGGCGGCCGCATAGCGAGCTATACACTCCAATTCACGTACAGTGCATTGGCGGTATCCTTCTGTGTTCAAATATTTTTTTGGTATTTGTAACAAAAATATGAAAAAATTTAGAACGCTACGACAAAATTAGTATTATTTAGTATTTAAAAGATTAATACATATTGATATTTTATAAAGAATCTAGTCGTACTTGTTTTTGGATAGAAATGTGGCACGCATTTGCAATACGATCGACTCCTTTGCATCCGGCACTGTCGCATACAGGCCGAGTACGTGTATATAGACGATGTTTCTAATTTGACCTCGTCTGCGAAGATACAACGTCTCTGTCGTATGGAAAGCTGTCGCGCATCCTCCGTGGTATACGTATGTTTGACTGAGAACGAAACTTTCTCTACTCGGTGGTCCCAAGAGAGCTGGGCACTTTGTTCCAATCCCGCCATTTCCTCAGTTGAATGAATATAGATCTAGAATTGTTAAATTATTTTGGCTTTAAAATGATTGTAACGTCATTCATCTCTTTGCGTTTGTTTAAAAGCAAAAAACGAACATATTATACGAATGTAAATAGCGGACACAAAATAATATTGACAAATTGGTAATCAAATGACTACTAACACTAACTTTCACAATGAAACATTGCTACTTTTCGCATAACACTTACGTCTATAATAGATGTATTACGAAATGAATTAAACATGAAGGACCATTTTGAATCCGTCTCGTGAATGTATGCTTCGGTAAACAGTTCGCTCTGCGCCTGAGATTGCCTAAAATTGATTAAATGATATTATATTAAAGATTGAATGCATTAAGGTGCTAAAAACGAGAAAGAAGACGTCAAAGAATTCTTGTTTTTATTAAAACAGCAACGAAAGTTTCTATGTTAGAATCATAATAAAGGATTCCATACATTACCAAGGCCAAGATTTCTCCGCGTGCCGTGAATTGTAAGCGTAACAAAATCCCATTTCTGTGAAGACAGGCACGAGAAAATCACAACATTCTTCCGAGTCTCCTTTCCATTCGCAATCATAAAATGCAGCCTCACACCGTTGAACAATCTATATTATATTTTTTTTGTATGTGAAAATACACAAGTTGCCTTTGATTTTGTGAATATGAAATGCAATAAATAAATATCCTAAAATTATAATAAACACTTATTTATATATCTAGCAATATAGAAGTATAACTAACACTAAAAACAGCTTCCTTGGGATCCAACGCAGGTGCCGGGGCATCATTCGCAGTGTGGCCCACTAGATCGTGCTGCGTGATGAACGTTGTAGCGCTTTCTTCTATAGAGCGGAAGCTTAGAGTCGCCAGCCACTGCAGCATCCTTGTTGCATTTGCAGGCGCGCCAGCCGGCCACACTCTGCATATCAAAATTTTTGCTTTACGAAGAGGACCTGTGGCTATATTTGTACATTGGGCAGAGTTTATTATATATTTAAGTTGACATGTAGTATGAAAGCCAATGGTTAGTGTTTGATGTGAATATTTTACGATACATTATTTATTGCGTACTTATCGATGTACTCCTGTAGTAATTCTTCATCAAGAGGATTCTTGTCGCATATAGTAACTGCAGGGAATGGTACATCCCAATTGTGGAAATCTGTGTCCAAACCTGCATCACCAGATATGAATAAATTATTTGTTTCTTTTTAAATTACACTATAACTTTATTAAAACAATTGTTTTAACTCGCCTGTGATTGTTGGATTTGTTTGAAACTTTTCCCAAAGACTTACAATTATAATGCAAGTAGCCACGGCGCCGATTGCCGTGAAGCTAAACCACATGAATCTAAAAAATTAAAATGTATAATTTGAGAATGCAAAGAAAATAGTTACAACATTAACACAACCAAATAAGGCATCTTACAATAGACGAAGTAGATCTGGTATTTCCTAAATGTAATCGAACGGCACATGGAGAAATTATTACTATATAATAGATAATTATTAGATTTTCGACTCACTTCTCACAAAAGGGTCGTTCTTTTTCCGCGATGTACCGCACGCCATGTAATGTTGAATTGTTGAAAAACTCAGTGGTCTGATGACGTAAGCTTGCCGCCAGCAATGACAGTACTCCGATGTCATCTTTTTGTTTATTTTGGCGCTTTTTTTTCTTTCTCCCCTTTTGATAGCGAGGTGGTAACACATTTTGAGGATATACCTTCGTCATCGTTCTTCATGTTTGACCAATACAAAACTATGAAAGGTACTGGCTATTGTATCCACGCGATATAAGATACAATCAGATTTATCGACCAGTCGTTGCGTGTTGCGCGCTAATTATATAACGACAACTATTGAAATCAAATATAATTGTTTACTAACCGACAGTCCATTATTTTAGGTTATATCTACATCGTATGACACATAAATTGTGTCATACAATGAATGTAGGTCGTTAAAATCCACGGTAACGTAAAATACATGCATGCCTGGCAAGACAATTACATGTATTTCTTCAAGAATTTCACACTTTTTTGTCCGACAGACACAAGGGTGGCTATTTTTTGTAAGTAAATTGTTTAATTATATCAGCTGTTTATTTTTTTAAATCATCTATCGTAGTGAAAGAAAGACACAAGATGTAAAATAAAGTAATGTTAACCCAAAAAATCTAAGTTAAAATAGTAAATTTACAACGCGTTCATTTCTGCTATCTTCTTTTTCGATGCAGTCACTTCTTCGCCCGGGACGTCTGCTTCTTGTGGTATTAGCGCATCTATGTTGATGTCCAGGTCTTTGAGAGCTTCATCTAGCATTTTCACTTTGCCTAATATTTTCTCTGCCTGCAGGTTATATCCCGGCTCCAACATCTTCCCGGTTGGGTTGAGTTTGAATAAGTATTCTGCCTACAATTAATAATTAATACGAGTTGTTATGAGAATTTTCTTACATGTATCGAAGATCTTATGAAGGTCTCTGAAGGTTCGAAGAAATCTATTTGTTAAAGGACATTAAGCATTAATTTTCGAACAAAAATAAAGGATATACGTTTCATAAACTTACAAGGAAATCAATGGGATCCTTGGGTCGTAATTTTGCGACTTCCAAAAGACCTGCAGTCAATGTGGGGAATATGTACTGCACGAGATAGTTACGCATGGGCTCGCCTGCAGCTGCCAAAGCCATTTCTTCCTCTTCACGCATTAATCCATATAACTCCGACTATATGTTTTAAACAAATAGATTAATTAAATATTTAAAGTCACACATGTAACTACGCACAATGAAGACACTCTATACCCAGTATTCCATTTTTTCTTCGTTTTCTTCCTTAATTTTCTTCTCCAGTTCTTGCAATGCTTTACGTTGTTTGGCTTCCATCAACTCTTTTGCCGCCTTTTCTTTCTTTTCTGCTCTCTCGATAACCTCTATATTGTGATAAATGAATTGTGTTATTACTTACACAAAGTGTAAACTTGTCTAACTTTCTGTCTCCTATTTTGCTCAATACAATTTGTTTCTGTTTAAATATTAATATATGTAAGTGTGTGTAGAATACGAATAATTACGATAAAAGAGTCGACAAGTGCTATATGACCTACCCATTAATTTTGCATAACGACACGGACGGCCCAAGCGCAGTGATACTTCGGCGTACGGTCCCTCCATAGAGTAATCATTGTGGTTATTCACTGGCACTACTAAAGGATGAATATCCAGCTCGTCGAAGAAGTTGAGAGGGGATATGTCCGGAGCATCAGTCGCTCTGAACTCACTGAGTAACTTCAGAACAGTTTCTTCGTCCACACGAAATTCGTCTTCGGGCTGACGCATTGCCTTTTCACAGATAAAATCATCCGTTGCTTCTAAAGACACCACTATGTCTAATACGAAAAAAAACATTATGTTAAAAATAGTGCCATGTAAAGATCTTATAGTGTTAAAAACACAATTCTCACCCGGTAACAACTTCTTCAGTACATTGGTATATAGATCCATGTCTTCCTCGAACATATCTCGATCTTCATCTTCGCTTTGTACCTCATCCTGTTCCTCGCCTCTTTCAAAAACTAATAGAAATTATTAATATTATTTTAATACAAGTCAATTAATGATTCCTAGATAAAACATATCATGAAAATGTATTATATAAACAAACAAGTCGTCAAATTAATTACCAACCAACTAAAGTTTAAAAACTTACGAGTAGCACTTTGTACCAAATTAAATCCATCCAACACCCAACCTTTGTTTTGTGCTTCGTGGCTTAAAAGTTTTTTTCTTAAGTACCTACGAAAGAAAAAGACCGATTGACAAAAACTATGTTTTCCAGAAAGCCCTTCGCAGTAGTCCACTTCCTTCCACTCTTAGAAAATATATTGAGGTATAAAATGCAAAAACAATGATTTATCGAACCCAATGATTTCATCATCAGTTGGAGTGCGACCGGAACGCAACAGGCCGAGCGTTATTCGCGCCGCTTCTCGTTCATTTTCATCCTCCTCTGTCTCCTCATCATCCATTGCAGTGTCACCCTCTTCCATTCCTGGCAGCTTGGAAGCTTCACCCTCTTTCCAGTGTTCCATTCGCAATTCCTTAAAAAGTTATCTTACAAAAGTTCAACACGCTCCAAGCAGCGTTTTGGTGTGAAAACTGTCCATGCGAATCGTTGGCACTGGACGTGTTAAAAGTGCCTCAAAAGGTACAATAAAGATTATGTATTCAACTTTGTCTCATTGCTAAATGTCCACCTACGAAATTATATTTCAAATTAAAAGATAATATAATTAAAATAACATACCAAGTCTTTTATCATATCATTAACAATAGTGTCCGGAGAAACGTACACCAAACCATAATTCTCGCAAATTAACCTTGACAATGTACTCTTACCAATCATTATGGGGCCGTATATAACAATCTGTACGAATAAAATACACCAAGTTGTATATAATTTATGTAAAATATTTCACAGTTAATGTAACAATTGAATATGTAGCTCTTTGCTTCCCATATTGTTTGTCACTTACCTTGAAAGATTTTAATTCTCGTTCTTTTTTAAATTGCTTTATAAGAACGGGGACATTTTCAGCAAAGGTCATCTCAGAGATCCATTGCAATCCCATAGTTTCCACTATGAAAGTCGGTTCCATATTCAAATTCAGATTAATTAGATCGTAAATTCTTTGCTATAAAATATTATTTAGAAATTTTTAAATGTTGACTGTAACATTTATGTAACATCTTCTATATAGTCGTATTACATAAAATTATTCGTTTAAGGTGTATAGTAATTAGAAAAATAAAGTCATTTGTTTACGTTACTTAAAATAGTCTAATGTCAGTCAGCAAATATTGTCTAATAAATTATTATTTCATTAATACTTACGTCTATTTCGGGAATCAAGAAAGCATCTTCCGGTGGTATGCATTTAAACATTCCTGAACCGACGAAACGTCCTAATGGCTTTATAATCTGAAATTATTCATATTCAATAAAAATATTTCCAAGCTATGATCTATAAACACCAACACGATAAAAATAGTTTATTTTTAAAACTATTTACTTACCTCTCTCTGCTTCGTTACATTTTGTTCTACCGCCAAAATGTATAGCTTCTTTGGGAAAGTCGTGACAAGATTATAAATAATCCTAAAGTTAAAAAACTTTTATTATTTTGCAGACCACAAACAACAATATACTTTTAATTTTTACTTACTCTGCCAAATCAAAAACATTAATAATAGGAATGACATTTCCTCCGCGCCCTAATATGGGTAAGAAGGGCTCGCATTCCCAAGCTTTTTGAAACCAATAGTAAAGAGCATCCTCACGTCCGCCATATGTCATACCAGACGCTACCACCAAAGCGCTGAAAATGTGTCATTTTTAACAAATGTATTATTTTTCAAGAAATAACGCGTACTATTTTTTTCTTTCAAATGACAGATTTAATTACAGTTCTTATAACTATTCAAGTAATCTCTAGGCTTTTGTTAGGATATCGTTTGCGACATTAATCGGATGCTGGGTTTCGAACTCTCGACGACGTAGTCGAATGTGATGTATTTATAATCAATAGGCTATCGGCGAATCGTCAATAGTATAATGAGTGTTTTTACTACACGATTATTATAATAGAATAATCATTTCTCTAGGATAGAAATTAAGCTCTCGCTGCGTAATTATAATTTATTCAAAGGTTGCCGTGAACCGAAATGATAACCAGCACGTCGGAATTTACAGATTTATGTTAGAACGTTAACAATAACCATTATTCAAAACATTATTTCTTAATAGCGTCCGTTAGACCGTTTATAAGTAACCGTTAAAAAGTTAGGCAATACATAACGACCAGTACAATCATCTCTGTAACATAATACTGTTTCATCACTAAATTTTATGGAGCATACATCACATAATATAAGAAACATTTACTCACCTTGTCTATCTCAAAAATAAACTCTAAACTAAAAACTTTTGGACTCTGTTTTTGTTCCTGTTTCCTTAATTCTTACCATACATAAAAGGTAAATCCCCAAACCACAGTGACTGTACTGACACGTAAGCTGCTTACCCAATTTTCGACTTAAATTTTCTAGCAATACCGATGACCTCATTTTCAACGTTATAATGCTGTTTGTAATTTGGATGCGCTTTTCTTTTGCGAAAATCCGTCTCTACGAATGGCATCTCTGGAGTGTCCTAAAAACCCGTTAACAAATAACACAATTTAATGTGAAAATGTTTAAAAATTGTCTTACAGTAGGAATTAATATAAACTGAAGTCTCTATTTTAAAATCAAAATAGTAAATGAGCTATATTAATTGTAGTCATTAAATCATTCTAGGCTCAAGCTTATGCTTTCCAGGCCCATCTCGAAGACAGAGACATTTTGTGGAAATTACTATTACTTTTGCAATTCCTACGATAATGACTTGTAAGTAGTTTTGAATTACCGGGTCCAATGGCTTTGTAAGAGCCCATGTCATTACTGTGGATAACAATATCAGATAACGCCTCTTGGAATCCGGGACATCGCCGGCGTCATTCACTACGCTGTGAGCTTGTTCCGCCTGTTGTTCCTTTTCAAGCAAGTCTTTTAAAACTATAATGTTTAGAACAAGTATGTATTATGTATATAAATCATTAGTTTAGTTTAAAATGCTTTTGTATTTATGTATAATAGTAAAATATTATTGACGTACAAATATAAAATATATGAGCGTCTGCGTTGTACTTGTTATTCTAAACCGCCAGCCTAACTGTAACTTGGGTTTTTATAAATATGTATTAATTAAATTTAGCATTTCGTACGTTTAAGATAACCCGAAGCAAGTTTGACTTGTTGAGTATCGCTAGTGATATCTAAAATCACTGTCCCACATGTGAGCATCTGAGGCAAGCATTCGTTGACAGGTACGATTGCTGCTACACGGTCGATGGTTGCTATTTTAGGATCGATAACGGTACCTAGAAGAAAAATATATTTTATCACTAAAGTGTTCTAGGAATGTATTTTATAGGAGCTCGATGGTAAAGTCTGTACACAATAGTAAGATTTAAAAACATATTTACAAAAGGAAAAACTGTCAAAAATCAAAAGGTTCCCATAATGTTAAACCACCTCTGCGTTGACATTAGAAAAGCTTATTAAAATGTGATGTATGCAAAAAGACCCAGGAAACATATCAACTAGACAATACAAAAGTAACTGCAGAGTGACTACGATACACCATCTTTGTTAACTCACCTATGATTTCATAAGGATCCGCAACTGGCTTCGGAGAGATCAAAATCTCCGAGTGCTCCCCTATATCCGACACCGATGACACGACTGTAGATTGCTCGGTTTTCTCTATTATTTTCGACACTTTCTTCAAAATTTGTTCACCATGATACGAGTCTAAATTATTTATAAAATACCTTTTAGTTGAGAAAATGTTTTCAAAAGTTGTTGATACATTTCTAATATTCGACATATTGGAGAATTGGACAAAATAAGCAATTTTACGACTGCTTGTTATTTTATGACTTTCTATCGGAAAAGCAAACAAAGGCTAACAAAGATTGTATAGTTATGACAAAAAGTGTCAGAATATTTTTGACACTCATTCGATTATAGCGTGACAACGACAAGCTTATCTGTGCCTAGAAAAGGCGCTGCTATCGCAGTTAGTTCTGGATAAAAATATGTAAAACCTACATAGACATAAAAATGAGATAAAAGGAAAACAATGACAATATCTTGCCACATTTTTTGGTCTTTGACAGGGGGCGCTAGTGAGCTATTATAATTTAATTTTACTTATATCCACCAGGTAAGATAAATTTGTCGGTCTACAAAATTTTCAACGATTTCAAAAGTTGTTAATTCTACATAAAAACCTGGATAACTTGCATTATTCTTTAGCAAACTTAAGATAGGAGATTTTTAGTGTGTACTTATTTAAAATATAATTTAATAGTTAAACACATTTAATAAAATACATGCGTAGAATAATACATTTTAATAGTAATAATTGTCCTGATTACATTGAATAATAGGCATTTGAATAAAATATAATAAAGATAAAACATCAATACATAATCGTACCTATACATAAGTAAAGGTACCTACAAAAAAGTTAGTTGTATCCACACATTAAATTGCGTGTTATGTACTTGCACAAAATTTGTGACGAATGAAATCTACTATTAAGTTTAACGTGTAGGCACAACTATAGAATAATCTAAGTACATAAACCCAAATACTTAAACGACAAAGACGTCAACTGGACGGTATTATGTAACAATAAAACAGACTTTAAACTTATTCTCTAGGTCTATAATAAACCGTTTGTTAAGTACGTAGTAGCCAAATAAAAACTCTTAAATCAGTACGTAAATGTTATTAAGTATTCGCGCCTTAGTATGTTTTGAGAAAGCAATGTTTTTGCTTTCCATTTCTTTGCAAATGTCTAGAATAACACCTCCAACGTATATGTTTCTGCTGCCCAAAGATACTTTTGCTACAGGTAAGAGAGATTCTCGAAGAAAATCAAGAACCAATCTTCACCATTTTCAGAGAAGTGTATTTGAAGTACATAATTTTTTCTATATAATATTAAGTAATAAATTTAAAATTGATTGTTCCCAAGCACCGTTATTTAAAACTAATTTTATTAAATCTAGTGGAATCATTTTTCATTACTTTCGTACATCTTTCACTTCCGTCAATAAATGTTTTTATAATACATAAAAACAAAATTAAAAAACCATTGAATTAAACAATGTAACTATGAAAATAAAATCGAATCTGGATAAGCGAGAAACCCATATAAGCGAGTCATTGTCAAGTACCGACGGATAACCTGTATAAGCGAGAAACTCGCGTTAGAGAGATACCTTTATAGGCGGAAAAAATTTATACCGGTATATTGCACTCTAGCTTATCCAGGTTCGAGGTATCATGTTCCAATTGTGTGCAATAACACGAGACCTAGTTGATGACGTCACAGGTAAAAAATGTCATATCGTAGGAATCTAAAGAATCCAAAAATTATAGGTTCGTCGCTTGCTCGAGTAAAAAATGTATACTGCATCTGGTGATGCATAAGTGGGAGGGTGGCGCGTCTTGTTCTATAAAGGTCTCATGTGATTGTACTCGCGTAATCTATTTTTAGGCAAATTATAAAAAAAAAATTCCATATTTTTGTATTATTTCTAAAACAGATTTAAAAATCCAAACATTTCAGTCTCAATTATTGAACAAAAAAAATTGTATAAAAATATAATTATCCATTTAAAATCCAATTCCAAAAATTCCAACATTCAAAAGTGCAGTTATGGCACGAACAAATCGTTTGATGTAATACTGTTCATTTCTTGTACTAAAATCTACATAATGTCATGTTAAATGTATTATTCGATGTGGTAAGAGGACGGCTTACTTAATATAAATTTATTTTCAATATTTTTCATTGCATTCAAATGCATAGCAAAACAGTAAATCTTCGTATTTTTTAAATTTTATAGGGGCATTCTTAACTACTTTTGTAGATATAACATTTGGAATGCTTAAAAGTCACACTTTTGTAGGAATGTAAAAGTATGCAAAATGATACTTTTCAGGTAAAATGTCGTCACATTGTAAAATTAAGTAATGCAATGAGTATCTTTTGTATAATACTTACATGTTAAAATTAAGTACATTAAAATCAAAATTGTAAAACATATAGGATAAAAAATAATTAAAATAGTTCTATTTATATTTCATAGGCATATTATACGAATAATTATTTTTATAATTGCAATTTGGATTTGTTTTTCAAATACGTATACTGGTATATCTCAAATCTAAAAATATTTCTTAACATTCGAAACACAATTAAAATTAAGATAATCATTTAGACCAGTAAATAAAATGGATGCAAAAATATTCATGCTAGCTTTGATAGCATTAAAGGCCAGTTTGAAAGCATTCTTGTAAACATTTAAAAGGCACCAACTTGAATGTAACGTTTGCAACTACATTCCGTGGCCAAGAAGTTTCTTTACGCAATATCAAATTACCAGTGCTTTTTATGGCCAATATTGTTATTAATACAATATTCCAAAACCAATTCGTATGTAAAATTAAACTTATGGAAAACATAATTCTTAACCTAAAAGTGTAAAAAGTTCGACAGATATAAAGGCGAAAATAAGGTATTATCTCACTTTAGGTTTCCTTCGAAACTTCAAAAGCGAAATAACATTTAGTTTATGTAAAAGGCACTTAGTTGCTGTGTGTATATCACTGACAACTGAAATTACTCAATAATTCCAGAGCACCTTTTTAATTGAGAACTCGATTAAAATTGACAGCACCAGACTATCTATAATATTATGAAGGTATCAATACTTATAGTTATCCTACACCCTTAAGTACAATATATGTATTAAAATATGTTTGAATGCTGGAATATGCTTCCTACAATTGTGTAGTAATGACTGACTTACGATGAATGATAGTTATTTCCTTCTCTCCGATACCTGATGGAGAACTCGGTTCAGAAGTCACGAGCCAAGGTGACAACGACGATATCGGTTGGGATTTGGGTACAACATCTTCTTTTCTATCCACTGGTTTAGGCGAAGCTATCTTGGTTTGGGCACGCGGAGGTTCGACAACGACAATTGAGACGTACTGAGAATTATTTGCCAACGGCGAATTCGGCTCGTTTAGTATTTTCGGTGAAGGTGTCGACGGAATAGATAGATTTATATTTGTAGACTCATTAATTATTTTAATTTCATTCTCTCTAGCTTTAAGAATGTTGTTACACTTTAGCTGTCCCGGAGGCAGATTCTTATTTGAAGATAAATAACATTTTGCTTGATTGTTCGGTATCTCCTTATCCGACAATGAATCTAGTTGATCTTTCTTAGCTTCGTTTTTAGAGTCATCGTTATTCAATTTTTCTTTCACCAGGCTCATAAGAAGATCATTAAGTGGATTAAATTCAGCGGCAGGCGAACAATTACAAGACGGCTTGTTTATAACTAGCTGTGTTAGATTATTTTTCTTCTCGTCTGTATTACCTTTATCGATTTTGAACAAAACTTTATTGCTGATAGCGTCCTCCTTAGATATCTTCACCTCTTCCACTGGTTCGTCATTCATAATATTTTTTGTTGAAGGCTCTCCTATTTCAGTTGGCTTCGGATCAATCTCAATTAACGAAGATTTTTGTGACTTCGCGCTACTCTTTCTCGATAGAGTATCGAGTGCAGATTCCGGCATGAGCGGCGTAGTATCAGTGGAAGTACTCGGCATCTCGGTATTGACTTCAGACTGGGATGGAGTTTCAGGTTTTGTTGTTACGTTCTGTTTTTCACGTTCCCTTAAAACATGACTCTGACGTCGAGCGAACCTTTGACTGGGGCGTCTCTCAAATTGAACTGTGCGACGCGCTCGATTCTGTTGTGTGGTTTGATATTCTGTTTTGCCCGAGTATTGGAATCTCGATCCCATCCTGAAGAAGTTTTGCCTGGCAGAAGGTCCTTTAACTGGGGCACGTAAGCGGAAGAAAGTGTGGTGTTCTACAGCACATTTCCAAAGATGTTTACATGCTTTTTCATTGTGCAGGCGGAAAACAAATGTATGTTCTTGTTCACGACCTTGATCATCATCTTCAACGACTACCAGCGTCAATTTCTTTTTCTTGAAATCTAATTTGCTTATCTTGGGCCAAAAGAATAACCCAATTTTTTGAGGTCCTTCAAAAACGAGTATACCAGTAGGTGTCAAACCCAAATGGTACTCACATCCATCTTTACCCAAAACAATGTGCATGTCAACACCATACATTTCAAGCCACTTTGCTTTATTTAAGTAATTTACTTCAGCTTGAGCTGGAGTGAGACCTTTGTATTTTTTATACTCTTCTAATATTTCTATTTCCATCTCCTCTGTTTGATTTGGCACAAATCTAAACTCTGATACTGTAGCAGGTGTGTGCAATGACTCATCAAAATCTCCTAATTCTGACTGCAGAGCCAAAGCAGCCAGCTCTACTGCAGTGGAATGAGGACATTCTAATTTACTCTCCAAAATATCTTTCTTTAGTTGTAAGAAAAATTGATATCTTGTCAATTCTTCTCTTAAATTATTGGGTTCAGATGAGTAAAATTTAACTTTTAATCTCAAAGTATAGGGGGGTCCAATTTTAACTTGTTTCTTTATTGTTTTAGTTGGATCCAACCAGTGTTTAACATTGTTTGTGTCAGTAAATTGAAGTCCAAAATAATCTTTTTCAATTAAATCTAAGGAATAAAATACTTGTTCATAGAGATCTGCAGCACTTGCTTTTTTAGATAGATTGATAGATAAATCAGTTTCATCAAGTAACATTACCTTGCACTGTATCAAGTTTTTGTTGCTTGAACTTTTCTGGGCCTGTTTGTTTCGATTCTGGCTGGATGAGCGCCCTCGTCGGCTGAGGAAGCGCAACATTTTGACAAGGCACAGTAAATCTATAACAAAAGATAAAAAAAATACATTAACAAACAAGGAATAGTTAATTTAAGAAACTAATAAACAAACCAGTCTGTACCCATATAACACTATAGAAAAGAGTACAAACTGAATGACACAAAACTCTACAAATTTTTGTACACTTTAATCTACCAGAGTTCACAGTAAATTGGAGATATGTACCCATGAAAAACAATGTGTTTACATGTGTACACACACTAACACTGAATAATTTCTCCTTGTGGGCTATAGGTATTGTATATTTGATTTCTATCAACTACCTGATGTAACAGACAATTCTAATATTGCCAATTTTTCCATTGTTACGTTACATAAACAGCTATTGTATATATGAGATGTAAAAATTACAAATGACAAATTACTGAGGCATTGTATCATTTCATCACTTAATAATAATTGATTTAGTGAGTATCAGAAAATTGTATACAAACTTTGTACAAGTTTATCATTTTTATTTTATTGCTCAGAGGAACTACTGAGTGTATAGTTTTTAGTAATATTCTTAAAAGTCTTGTCTATTCAAATTTAGTTTGTGGAACATTTTTTTTAATTAACATCTTGTCCTAATTAGGAAGTATTACTATTTCAACATTAAGAATTGAATGAAGCAAGTGTGTTTCCTTTCCAGAAGCCTTCTATGTAGATGAAGTAGCAACCTATTCCAACATAACGGATTAAGTTTCTTATAATAGGATTGCATTGAGCTTAATTAGTGTTAAAATGAAAAATCTCTGAACTATTTATAATTGTATTAGTTTATAAGAATAAATGTAACATTTAATGGTAATGAGAATCGTTAGTCAAGTTTTTATTTTAAAAAATTATTTGTGTGTATTATAAATTTGGTGGTCTATAGCAATTTTCATACTGGTTCCACATATTTTAGCTTATACACATAGTTATGCTTTATAAAAAAATAATATTAAATACACAAATTATAATTCCAGTGACCCAGATGGTAACATAGTGCTCATAGGTCAATATATTAGTATGTATCTGTATAACTATTGACATTATTGTGGGCGTATATCTTAGTTCCAAGCAAACGTGGATAAAGTGAAAGAACAACTGGATTTCAAGAGATTGCTTTTTCTATAGACATTAATATATGACTCCTTCATTCTAAATGTATTTAGACAATCAGACTTACCAAATCGTCAATGATGTACAGAGCCTCCAGAATCATCAAAATAAATTGATAAATTTTTAATCCATGAAAATAAACCTTGACAACAGAACAGAGAAAAAATATAAAAAGCAAAAGCAATACAGATTAAACATAGCGGGGCTTAGCTTATTGTTTCCAAAAAACTAAGATAGATCAACATGTGAAATAAACAGTTTGATCTTAATAACTGTAATTATTACTTAAAAATAATGTAATTTCATTTAATGATTAAATAATGAAAGTGGTGCTAACATATTTTATTAGTCTGTTTTTGTTTTCCATTTCTAGATTTGGGATTTGGCACTTGTTTGACACACTCTGGATCTCCTCTCTTTGGATTTTGAAAAAGAATCTGACTTTTCATATGAAGTGACTGTGCGTGGCTGTTTTATATACGAGTAAAACGTTCTGTTTGGAACAATAAAGGTAATTTGATTATATACAATGAACTTTACATCATTACTATGTGACACTATTTAGTTTTTCCTCTTCTAGAACGTTAGAAACTATTGAAAGTGAGGTTATGAGTTAAGAGCGATTTGCCTCATTAATTCCGTGTTGTACCATCATGTTATCATATTCAGAACTGCCTTAAAACATATTTTAAATTCTTAGAATAAATCTTAATTAACAAATGAAGGTACATTTTAAAACAGTAGATAGAAATCGATCCGTGCTAAACTTATTTATGCGTATTTTCTATTGTCAACAAAGGGTTATTACCAAGGATAAAATATCGGAAAGGATCTTGATTGAAGTGTAGTTACTTTATAATATTTACGTTACAATTTTAATTATTGTGTATTTACACATATCTGATGTAAGGTAAAACGAAATAGGGCAGCTTCTATAGCATTTAAGCAGTCAAATATTTGTATAAATATATTCGAATTGATTTTTTGAATATTTACGTATATAAAGTGTGTTCTCCATCAAATAAATTGTATTATTGATGGGGAATTTTCATTTTTTTAAATAAAAATATTTAATGTCTATTTAATTTTTTTTCTTTACAGATGCCTGTAGCTGATGATATACAATCTTCTTGGGCAGATGAGGTTGAAATTGATCAGGGAGCTCTACCTCCTCCATCGGAAGTCGTAGAAAATGGCTTGAAGATTGTCACCGAATATAAATATGACAATGACAATAAGAAGGTTAAAATTGTAAGGACATATAAAATTGAGAAGCGTGTTGTGTCAAAGGTAAAAATATATTTGTAGTTTTATATAGTTACTGTCAGTTAATATTTGAATTATAGCTTTTTTAGTTTGAAATAAGAATGATTTACCATCCATTTCAACAAGCTACTAAATAGAAAGTAGGTGATGCTACATAAGGAAAGAGTTAATTATTAATACAATTTTATTTATGTGGTTTAGAGTATTGCAAAGCGTAAAACATGGAGTAAATTTGGTGATTCTGCAAGTGATAAGCCAGGTCCTAATCCTGCAACCACCAATGTTTCTGAAGATGTATTTATGCAGTTCATCACAAGTAAAGAAGAGAGTCAACGAACCGATGATGGTGATCTTGATGGTCTTAAGGTATTTTTTTGATATTGCATATAGTAATGTTGCCTAAAGAATAACAATTTCATATTTGGTATTGTTTTACTATGCAACTGTTCTTTTTATTGGGATAAGATCATAATTCATATCATAAGATATGTATTGATACAATTCAATTCAATTCAAGCCCAATATATGTAAATTTACTACATTTAGATTATGAATACCTATTTACTAGCACATTTTTATTTTAGCCTCAAACAAGTAGTGTCATCTACAAGTGCCGAACATGCCAGGGTGAACATTGGACTTTGAGCTGTCCATTCAAAAACAGTGATGTTGTTATGGCCAAGGCCAATGAAGCGGCTAAAGCTGCTGGTAAGTAGTAATTACTTTCTAGTCTTGCATATATTATAAAAGCGAATGTTTCGATAGATGGATGGATGTATGTTTGTTTTAAGGTATCTTCAGAACAGCTGAGTGGATTTGTGAAATTTGTCAAACATATATAATAGTAATTATTCTAGAACACATACTACATAGCTACTAATTATGGTTTTATAAATTCCGCGCGGACGGAGTCACGGGCGACAGCTACTACATTGATAAATAACAATTATTTATAAAACATTTAATAGTTTTTCATGAGTAAAACTAAGCAAAGAGGATGGACCATTTTTTTCGCTTTTGCTATCTAGATTATAATGGGATGGGCCTAAAGGACTAGAAATGACGTCATAGTCTAAATGACCCATCCATAAATGTTCTACTTTTTGTTAATTCATTACATTAAATTTCCATTTTCAGAAACGAAGACTCCTGCTACCACCAACAAGTACATCGCGCCGAACATGCGCGAAGGCGCCAAGCCTCGCAGCTGTGAGCCCCCAGGCCCAAGACGTGATGACATAGCAGCCATTCGTATCTCCAATCTTAGCAACTTTGCAGTGGAAGCCGATCTGGATGACCTGGTTCGTGGTTTCGGACCTGTGCAGAAGCTGTACCTTGCAAAAGAAAAGGTTTGGCCCACATTTTATTTACCTCGTTTTAATTAGTGACTTTGGTTATTTTTAACAACCTACCCTATGATTGAGTGGACATATGAGGTTTAGTATTATCAAGGTTCAGCTAGATAGAAAAGTTTCATTATTACTTGTAAGCAGTTATTTACTGCTACTCCACAATTGCATTCTTTATGTTACATTGAAAGGCTACTGTATAAATTTAGTTCTTGGTAAAATGGTTGTAATAACTATTTTTCAAATGAAGAAAATACCTACCTATTAGACCTAGCCTGCCTTGACATCCTCCAATATGCAGGCATCCTTTTTCTCAACTATCATGCGTATTTTTTTTGTTTCAGAGTACTGGACAATGCAAAGGGTTTGCTTATGTTCACTTTAAGTTCAAAGCTGATGCTGCAAAAGCTATTCAAATACTTAACGGTTACGGTTACGATCACTTGATTCTGAATGTTGAATGGTCCAAGCCACCACAAAATAATTAGTTGTCACTGAGAAAAAACCTATATACAATATTTTGAAATAAATGATTTAAAAAGTAATTTGTTTTTATTTCCGATATAATTAAGAAACCTTAATTTATTACCTTCAAAAATAAAATGTAATTACATTTTGAATGTGAATGATGTGATTGCTTTGTAAAATTTGAACTTGGTCTATTTATAAGTGCATAAAACCTTCAAAAAATAATGTTGTGATTTAAAGATTGGGAATAGCTACCAAAGTGGAGGCCGCAACACAATTTAACATGTGTCAGCTAATTTGTAACTTAAATAAAACAAGTACATTGCAGTACCTACTTATTTATTCTATTTTTTTTAAATAAAGATGTATTCATGTGATATTTTTGAACAAGGCTAGGAATAGAAGGTAGATTACAAAAGAAACATCTTGGAAAGCATAATATAAATAAATGAGTTCTTAACTAATATTAAAGGACTAAAAATATTTTTAGTTCAATTATTTATTCGAAGTTTTCATTCCTTATGACTAGACATTTATTAAAGGATTTAAACACCAACACTATAATATGAATAAATAGTTAGAAAATAATGTGCACTTAATTTTGGAAAATGCTCATGTCTCATTTAAGTAACTAACAACAAACAAGCATGCTAAATATATTTTATATGTCAATATCATATTTTTCATCATCACTGTTAGGGCTATATGTTTCTTCAGGGAGTCGTACTTCACCGCAGAACATAAGTTCAACATAGTTAAAATAATCCAATGCTATATTAGTTAACGTTGCACCTGTGGCAATACCAAGTACTGTGCCAATGACTGGTCTCTGACCCACAGAGCTTCGTAAGATTGCCCATAAGAATATAGAACCTAAAGGCCAGAGGCAACCACCAAGAAATGCCCAAGAGAAACGTCTTGCTGGTGCAGCAGTGGCAATATGTGGTCGTCCCCAAAGCCAGAGTCCAGCTCCACTGCCAGCCGATAGGAACAAGACATCTGTCACATCGCGCCGAGGAAACAATCTGAAATGAGTATACTCACTATTAAATGTAAGTAAAAGTGGCAGCATTGTTAGGAACTATATTGGTAACATTTATATCAATCTAATAGATACTCTGTGCACATGGTGTTTGTAAATATGATGTTTACATGCTTATACAATTGACATTTGGTATATAATATGCAGATCATAATAAATAATTTAAAGTATCTCTGAATGGAACAGTACCTTAAAGTTGAAAGTGCACAATATTGTCCACGGAAAAGCAATGATGGGGTGTATAAAGATGTATTTCGCATAAAAAAACAGATTTGTTAAAGAAGTACATACCTGACCATCAAGTGTGGATTCATCACACTGACTGATAATGTTGTGTAACTGACGAGGCCTTGTAAAGGCAAATAATAAAATAAAACATTGTCCTTAGTGAATGGCGGTATCCTTATTCTGTTTACAGATTTATTAATATACTCTACAGTTTTGGGAACTGTAACCGGTAGACTGAAAACTTGTGTTTTAATGTTAGCATAAATCTTCTCAAAAAATTCCATTGTGATGAGATAATCGGAGCGCTATATTCTAGATCTACATTAACAGGGTTATATAGGTACCGATAATTTGGCAAGCCTATAAGGTTATTTATAATTATTACTTGTAATTAGCATTAAAGTTGGTAGATCGGGCACTGAATAAATTTTAATACAATCAAAAGTCAAAAACACAGATACACATAGACAAGAGTAACTGACAGGATAGATCAAACAATATTACCATAGACTTACAACAGACGTACAAGTGAATTTCTCGTTTCTAGCGAATCCTCTGGATACTGTTGTAATTCAAGTTAAAATGTAGGAATCCAACTAGGACAACTACAGAAGTCGCGTTTTAAATAAACCAAACAGTGGAGACAAAGAAAATAATTTGATTAATGACTTGGATAGAGTCATTAAGATTTATTGGCAATGTTTACGCTTTGACGTTTGTCATTGTGACACAGTCATATGTTTATTTTTGTATTTTAATTTTTTATAGGTTAGTTTTAAAATAATATGCTTATTAGACCGCGTTTAATTAAACTTGTAAATAAATTTACTTTAAATAGAAATGTCTTTTCTGTTAGAAATGAATTGGCTTTATCGAAAAGAAAATATACTAATAGCCTTATACTTGGCTTAGAAACATCTTGCGACGATACAGGCTGTGCAATTTTAAATAAAACCGGCGAATTATTAGCGGAATCTCTACATTCACAGAACTTAATGCATTTACGACATGGAGGCATAATTCCGGATATAGCTCGTGATTTGCATAGCAGCTCTGTTGAACCAGTCGTATCTGAAACATTACAGCAAGCTCGAGTCACGATGGACGATATTGCTGCAATAGCAGTGACTTTGAAACCAGGTCTTCCACTGAGCCTTGTAGTTGGAATGAAGTATGCAAAACATCTAGCGCGTAAATATAATAAACCAATAATTCCAATACATCATATGGAAGCTCATGCATTAGTTGCAAGAATGCAACATAATATTGAATTTCCATACTTAACTTTGTTAATATCTGGAGGCCATTGTCTGTTAGCTGTTGTTGAAGATGTAATACAATTTAAACTACTTGGAGAAAGCATTGATATGGCACCTGGTGAAATGTTTGACAAAGTTGCTAGAAGAATGAAACTGAGGAATATCCCTGAATTTGCTCAGATGTGTGGGGGACAAGCAGTTGAGGTAGCTGGATCAAGAGCTACTAATCCTCATTTATTCAAACTACCTTTACCTTTAGCTGATTACAAAGATTGCAATTTTAGTTTTAATGGACTTAAAACATCTGTGTTGCTACATTTACATAGAAAAGAAAAAGAACATCAGATTACTGCTGACAAGTTAATACCAGAGGTAAATGATTTATGCGCAGCTATGTTGATGGCCACATCTAGACATTTAGTTCATAGAACACAGAGAGCTATGGAGTTTTGTCAACAAAATAATTTAATACCTGATAGTAAAAAACAATTAATTGTCTCTGGTGGAGTTGCTTGTAATAATTACATTTTTAATGCATTATCATTATTGTGTCATGAATTCAATTATCAAATATATAGGCCTACTCCTAAATTATGTACAGATAATGGGGTTATGATAGCTTGGAATGGTTTAGAGAAATGGCGAAGAGGCTTAGATATTGTTACAGATTTAAATACTTTAGATATTGAAGGTAATAGTAAATTAGGCGAAAGTTTTATATCAAAAGTTGCCGAAGCAAGAATACCTATAAAGCTAGTAAAAATAAAAATGAGATGTTAATATTAATTTGATTTTTTTTCATTTTTAGCAGCCCATACCCAATCTTTAACTTTAATGTATTAACCTTTAAATGATTTTCTTCCACATACTCTATCATAAGTACAACTGTTAGTTTATACTATGCGCAAATATTTTGGATCATTTTGCATTGTTAATTTGCATCATTTACAGCAACAAAGACTAACCTATAGTTTAAATTTGATTGTAGTATAATGTTCATTCAACAATTACAATTTAAAGCTTGACTACTTTTTGACTCAATCAGAAATTATATGAGCTAATCTTCAACATTTGACAATCGCACGCGACTTTGTCAGAGCAGAAAAAGGAAAAAAAGTAGCCCGTAAGACAGTCGGACAAAAATGATAAAAATTTGTTTTACCTTATAAATGTTTTTTTTTTCGACATTACATACTCTACATTTTATTATATGCAAAACTTTTGACCGACAATCTTTATCAAAACGTTTTAAAACACGAAATGTAATAGCAAAGTATTTTTACCGCGTAAACAATATGAAATCGATGCTAGCTGGCATTATAAATCAACCTTGTTCGTATGGCGTTGTAAAGTACATTTATATTCAAGTTACCTGGACCCGATCTGTTTTTTTTTTCCTTACGTTATGTGCATCTTATTACGGTCCGGCGATATTCTGTAATCAGATGCTCAGTGATAGTCCGTTTTTCGTGCGATACGTATAAGATCGTAGTTCGAACAATTTAAACCATGTTTAATATGAAGAAAAGTTATAAGACAGTATTTATAAAACAATATAGGAACAGGTGTAGTATGATATGGGGATATGGATTAAGATATTTGAATAAGCAAAGCTCAAACTGTGATAAGTTAATGAATTTTAACGATATTCCCGGCCCCAAGAGCTACCCGATTCTCGGAACGTTACACAAATATTGGCCGATTGTAGGTAAGTAATGCATTTTAATATATTTAATATTGCACTACCAAAGAAATTTATTCTTTACTTATTGCTTAAACAGATGATTACTTTTTAAAACTCGTTTTATATTACATACGTGTATAAGAGTGCTATTTGCCGTGCCAGCTATTAAAAAAAGTAATTTTTAGCAAAAAAACGCAATCAAAACAATCTTGTTTTGTTGTTTTATTTAACGTAAAATGCATATTTTGTAGATGGCAACGTACTATGCATTTGATGTAGATTACCCTTTTTTGTATTGGAATTCGTTTGTTTATATTCCAGGAGAATATAATGCAGAGGCACTTGATAAGAATGCCTGGTTAAATTGGCGTCGCTACGGAGGTCTGGTGAAGGAAGTCCCCGGTGTGAACTTACTCCATGTTTACGAACCGGAAGTGATCGAAGCGGTATTCCGACAGGACGATCGTCATCCATCGAGGCGGAGTCATGTTGCAATGCTACATTATCGGCTGAGCAAACCAAATATTTACAATACTGGCGGTTTGCTTTCAACGTACTTATGATTAGATACTTTATATAAGTTTTCTGTTTCTAAACTGCTCATAAAACATGCAATTGTAAAACAAATTAATATTTTGATGAGCAAAACCACCACAAATACCACGTTCATCGACGAGATTAACATTTGTAATAAGTACAAGTAAATCACTTACTACATATCATATTCAGAAAAAGAACAAACTCTGTCTTTCTTTTCTAGGAATGGTCCCGATTGGTGGCGCCTCCGTAGCACTTTCCAAAAGAATTTTACAGGTCCACAAAATGCTAAGCAATACGTCGAGAGTGCGGATAAGGTTGCTTGTGAATTTGTTGATTGGATAAAGAAAAGCGAGTTGTCACACAAAGAAGATTTTCTTAAATATCTTAATAGATTGAATCTCGAAGGTATGTATGATAACTGCTGCTATTCAAACACTTCGTTTATTTTCTGCCTCTAAGGTTGATAAAGCACATACTAAAATTATTTGGTGGACTGACCTCCTATCACATCAATAGCTGCAATACTTAAAACATACGTCTTTGCTATTTGTACTTCACAAGAAGATTAAAATACCATCACGTAATTTATCTATTGTACTTGGCAATGAACATATAATTGTATATTCTTCCATTTTCAGTGATTGGGGTAGTGGCTATGAATGAAAGATTTAATAGTTTCTCAATGGAGGAACAAATGCCCCATTCCCGCAGCAGTCGAGTCATCGCAGCTGCTTTTGGCTCCAATAGTGGGATTATGAAACTGGACAAAGGAATTCTTTGGAGGTTTTTTAAAACACCCTTGTATAAAAGACTTGCTGAATCTCAAGAATATTTAGAAAAGTATGTTTTCACTTTTGTAATTTATGAATATACGTTTACGTTTATAATATTTTTCGTTAATTTTCTATTTTCCAGGATATCAATAGAAATTTTACTAAACAAAATAAACTTTTTTGAAAAAGGAAAGAAGGGCGCTAGCAAATCATTATTAGATTCATTTCTGGAGCAACCCAATCTAGATATAAAGGATATTACGGGCATGATGGTCGACATACTTATGGCAGCCATTGATACGGTATACATAAGTTAACTATGCCTTATAAATATTTTTAAAATAACACAAATTCTTCAATCAAATAATTTATAATTTGGATTATTAATCTAATGCTAAAGTATTTGCCAATTATCTTTATAAATAAAGCCACTTCTTTAACACATTTTCGGGCGTATGAAGTTTTGTACTCTACATACCTCCGAAATAAAATAGTACAGTGATGTGTATGGAAATTAAGGTTCTAATAAAATATAAGAGATCTTAAGTGCCATTTTTCTTTTAAGACGGCTTACGCTACGAGCTTCGCACTGTATCATCTTGCCCGCAATCCAGAATGTCAGAGGAAATTGTATGATGAAGCTTCAAAATTACTGTCACCAAACGACCCTCTTACATCTAACGTACTCTCAAAAGCTGTATACTTACGGAGCTGCGTTAAAGAGAGTCTGCGACTCAATCCTGTTTCGGTCGGCGTTGGACGCTTGTTGCAAAAAGATATTGTACTAAAAGGATATTTGATTCCTCAAGGGGTAAGTTGTTCCAAGGAAATACATGAAATAATTATCCTATTTAATAATCGAATAGACATTTCGTAATCGTAACCGCAAGTAAAAAACAAATTGTCGTCCAAACTTATTTTTGATCTTCAATGTTTACTGGCTTGTGTTTAAGCGACCAATCTTAATTTCCTGTAGCAAAATTGATTTAACATTATTTTGAATTCAGACAGTGATAGTGACACAGAATATGGTAGCGTCGCGTTTGCCGCAATACGTGAAAGAGCCATTGGTCTTCAAGCCGGAGCGTTGGATCCGCGGCTCGTCTCAATACGAGAACATACATCCATTTCTCAGCCTGCCATTCGGATTTGGTCCACGATCCTGCATTGCTAGGAGAATAGCTGAACAAAATATATACATTATTCTGATTCGAGTAAGTCTATGTTCACTTAAATCCTAGCAGTTTGTCCGAAAAACTAAACTTAAAACTATCTAAAATGTCTTTTCTTTCTTATTCTTGTTCGCAAATACCCTGAGTATTCAGGAAACCTCTTTTGAAATGCAGTATAATCTTTATACAATGGTTATGAAACCTTCCCCGGTTAAACCTATTTGTCTAAGCTACCACAATCACTGGCTGGAACTGTTCGTGTGCGGTTAAAATATATTGGTATATATTATTTACATTTTTTTTATTTCAGTTAGTGCAAGAATTCGAAATAAAATGGATGGGCGGAGATCTAGGCATAAGAACGTTGCTTATCAATAAGCCAGATAAGCCTATATCGTTATCTTTTACACCGCGGCGTAAATAAATATTTTAATCAAAATTTTTGTGAAAATTCAAATTAAATTGAAAAAATTAAAACGCATTTTTCTTCACTTTCTCTAAAACAATATTACATCGTATCACAGATTTTATTTGTAACTAATTTGTTCTAACTCACATCATTCCTTGTCTTTCAAACGTTCAAAATGATTCTCTGTGTACCAATTAAAAAGTTTTTATTTTATTCGAAATAACAAACAGGATAAAACTAGTAGACCAATGATAGTTAATTTTCATGTGTTTATTTGTTAAGAGATTTTAGCTACAGCTCAGTAAATTATGATAAAGTTACAGTTTTAAATATACAAACAGAAAATAATTTATAATAACAATATTTAACAATATAGATAAAATAGTATACACATTTATAAGGTAAGTTAAAATTAATATTACAGAAATGTCCCATTTAAGTTGCTGCAACAAGTTGTCATTATGATGTTTTTGTAGTCGTCGAATGATAAAAATAATGACAAATTATTCGCAACAACTTTTTCTTTTACACTTACACCAAGCTAAAGCACCGATAAATCAATCAATATGTAAATATATTGTACATATTAATACAATTATTTACGTATGTGTGCATAATATTGCGACAATTGTCATTAAAAATACATAATTATAACACAGTAAAAAACCGATTATCTGAATGCCGATTAACCGAATCGCCAAATATTTGAATCGGTACCAAGTTTTCTTTTGTTGACTGGAGGCCTGATGGGGTTGCAACTTACTCGGATCGAGATTTTCAACTTACTCTAATCGAGCGTTATTATAGAACTGTGTTTTTTAAACTTAATAAAGTTTATTCTATGTGTGACAGTTTATTTTCTTTATTATGTCCGATTATCCGAATTTTCGATTATCCGAATCAACCCCGGTCCCCATTAATTCAGATAATCGGCATTCTACTGTATTCGATTTTGATTTAGATTTCAGACAAGTTTTTGTAATTTTAATTAACAATTATTTTTAATAGCTTATAAAAAACTATTTTTCGTTTGTTACAAAAACATTAGATCAGATGATTTTGTACTTCGTCTAATTTAATTCAAGCTATTAAAGAGAAATTAAACAGTTTTTTATTAACTTTTAGTATTCGGAGCGCCTTTTAGAAGCAAAAACTTATATTTATTATATAACTAAGTATAATAAGTTTTACTATCTTGATATAAATCTTGGCTGTTATTTTACAAAAGGCACTTTGAATGCTAAGTTTAGGCAGAATGGTCTAATTTGTGGAAATACATAAAAGGCTTTGTAATAAGACGCCCACTTGAGTTTATTCACCTTGATGAACTCTCGTGATAGTTCAATATAGAAAATCCTTATGAAAACGATTATTTCATTGTACAATTACATTCATAACTTTTAAGAAGATTATTTAAGTATCTCTCTGTAAAAAATTATAATATGTTACGTTGTTAATTAAAAAGTGCATTTTATTAAACATTCGATATTATCGTTTAAAATGGCACCGATATTCAGCGGTCACGAATTTAAGTGTTCTTTAAAAAGATTAATCATAAACTAAAGTAATAAATTAAGTTAAAGATTATATTCTTTTTCTCGTGGTTAACACCCACTTAATTTTTATAGATTTATGGCTAAGAAATTTCGTTCGAGATTCAATCGTTTTGTCTTCGTCAATTAATTTTTTTTTGTAACGTATAAAATACTGATATGCAAGAGGTAACTTTGACTTACTTTACACAAATAATGACTCGAATTCACTGAACAGGTCTGGGATCGTAAGGCGTCGCATCGTGGCCTACGTACCTGTTGTTCTTACGAATTTGGAAACCTTCGCCCGGTGACGTGTTGTAATATATAACTCTTCGAATACCAAACGGATCTACGTAACCGAAGCTACCGATTCGTTCGTTAGCATCTTGGGTAGCTTCTTCGTGATACTGCTTTGGCAGGTAATACCTAAATCCGTTTCTTCTGTACGCTACACCATCGTATCCTGGAAACTGTGGTGTGTATCCATCACCCACTCGCACATTTCCTTGATATCGGCGGGTCCAGTCGTCGGCATGACGATAAGAGTTAGGATTGTAGACATCATATCGTCTGTAAGGTGAGCTATCACTAGCGTAGTAGTGGTCATCAATTGTGTTCGTATTGTCGTAATCGTAAGGGCTCGGGGAAGGAGATGCATCTTCAGCTGTGATCGGTGGTACAGTTGGTTTTAAATTATATGGCGTTGAACTATCAATAGAGTTGGGCGATACTTCAACGTGTGGGGTCGAAGTGGGCGCGGGGTAAGAATACGGGGTTGGAGTAATGGATACTTCGCTCGGGTATGGCTGTGGCGGCTGGTGGGCAGTTGTAGGCGCTGGGGTTGTGGTGATGCTTTGTGCGGGCGCGCTGGAGTGATGTGGCGGCGGCGCGGGTGTGACTCCAAACCCGGAATCAGTAGGTGCAGTCTTTGCCATTTTAATTGACTCCTACAAGCAACATCAATTAACGCCTTAAGTATATAAAAGTATATGTACTATAATATACGAGTATGTACATATATAAGCTAAAACATTTCTGTAAAATTTAACTAATATACGTACTCCAATAGGTCGGTTCAATCCAACATAGACAGTCTTAGATTTGTAAATTCTGTATCCCTGGTCATCGGCAATGTAGTCTTGCAACCTAAGGAATCCATCTGCGCCTACCCATCCGGTTGTTCCTGTAAATTATGAGAAAAAGCATCTTTGAAAGTAAATTATTAAAACTAGTATTGTTTATAGGTACAGTCAAAAGAGGCTGTACAATGATAATGAGGCTTACTGTAAATGCATTAAGGTCTGAATTAATGGATGAATTGTAGAATGTATGGTAGAACAGGTTGATGATGATAATGATGACGATGGTGGAATTATCAAGCGTTATCATCGAATTGTGATCTCGTAATGAACTACAGTAATTTTAAAAAGAAATGACATGATTGTTACGCGGACATTTTATTCTAATACTACTCACCTACAACTGAGCCGTCTTTCAGCCTTCTCTCTTTGCGATATTGACCGTTGTGAGTTTGGTAAAGAAAGTACCGCTCATCGTCTTCATCCGTTTGAATGTGGAACTGATCAGGATCCTGCTGCGAACTGTAGCCGTCCAATGCAGCCAGCGCACTGCATGCCCATATCTAAAATTAAAAAAAACATAAATATTTGTATGTTGGTACTTTATGTAATACTGTACAAATCATGAAAAATTTTGGTAAAGTGTTTTAAGGGCGCCAGATAACATTTTATCTAAAAAGTTTTGTGTAAAATTCAACGTTGAGATGTGCTCGATTTTGTTATCTGTTTGAAATGCTCAGAATCTTAATAATAATTCACAAGATGCGAAGGTACTTCGAAGAATATGCCATCTGACAATCGCCGTGTCTGGTAATTAATTGTCGCGATGATCGAGTTACAAAAATCATTACCTTCTTTAAAAATAATATTGTGCAATATGCAGTAAATAACGCCTCATTAAAATGGTAAGTTATCATTTGATTATAATATTATGTTAAGACAAGGTCTAGGCAAATTAATCTAGCTGCATGCAGTCTTTGGTGGGCTAGATGTGCGTGGGAGTGGAGATTGTCCCAGTGATTTAATATCGATTGTGTCAAGGACATCTTAATGACATGTCCGTTTAATTTAACGGCAACAAAAATGGTTGAAAGAAAGCATTTTTGGTGGTCCTCATTTTATCTTTATTTCTAATAAAACTTCTATTTCCATAAAGTATATTTTCTGACTACAGCGGGATTGCGTTGACTTCAGAAGCAATAGCGTGTTTGCGTTCGTTTTATCTTGCTTTTTATTTAAGTCAATTTAAAATCAGCACAGTGTTTTAGAATTGATTTATTTTGTTCATTTATTTCGTTAGTTGACGCTTATACTCTTTTTTGTTCTCTTCGCGAAGTGAACCGATTGCTGTTTTTAGAGATAATGATGAACCAGGTAGAAATATTTGCTTATCTTTTAGGATGGGATACTTTTCAATTAAATTTTGTCTTTGATACATATGCATAAAGGAACATTAATCACTTCGGAAAGAAAAGATATTGACTTTTTATTTAGCGCTAATAGAAATCAGTAAAACATTTTGCTAAACTTAATAAAATAAAACTGTGTTAAATTAATGTATATTTTTACATAACATAACAGTAAGAGCAGTTTCGATACAGACACGAGTCTATGAGACTGTTAAAGTTGACAAGTTTTTGTAAGGTATTATAAATCAAAATGAAGACTTAGAAATCTTGGATACGATAATTCTTGATTACGTCAATACGGCCTTCAGTGATTTGTTAGTGAACCATTGTTCTGTAAATTGCTCGTTCCGTCTCTAATTCGAGGCAAAGTACTGTCTCACAACACGCGGTCTGATTTTACAGCTAATGCACATCGAAAAACGACAAAAACCAGACTTTTTGTAAAAAAACAACGATATTAATCAACTTATGAACGTGTTTTAAACACTTAGAAGGTCGTGAAGAATTACCCGATTTTGTTAAAATTAAAATCATAATTAAGAATTTATAAAAAGTTATTACGCTATTCAGCATAAAGGCAAATATTTATTCAAACATTTTCTGTAATTCGAATTGTAATACAGAAAATATAGTAAATGTTGCTGGAATCCAAAATAAAGTGGCTGCTATTAGCAAATACTAGCTGTCGCCCGCGACCATAATTACATTGATTGTGTAAAGGAAATACGAATAATCCATACAATGATATACAATTTAAATTAAAATAGGGTTAAGCGTTGGCTTATTGCCTGCATCTCGTTATCCTGTATACAATACGGAAAGGACAGGATGACGGATACCAGGAAACTTAGCAATTTGTATATGCTCTGATCGTACTTACAACTAGCCTTCTAGAATATTAATTTAGGTAGTCGTAAACACAAACCTACAAGGCTAGTGCTGTCATAGCCTCGGGAACATACGTGGGATGGAAGCTAAGGAGCAACGCGGAAATGATTTACATGCGTGACGGATTAGACGACAATTGTTCCAATGTAAAACTGACGTGTTAATTAAATGTTACATAAACATGCTACGAATGTCTGTTTTTAAAACTTGAAGCTAGATATTGGCCAAATAAAGTTACGGGTAAAAAGGTAAAAGTTGTATCCTGCTCTACATAAAATTGTAAGACATTTAAAAATTAAAGAGCAAAAATCTATTAAAGATTTAAAACAAAATATTGCGTAGGTAGTCAACGAGCATTGACTGATTCATTAAATTTTTCACAAGAATCGATTATTTTACGATGATTCACATAGGTAATTCATTGATTTGTTTTTTATATGTTATCAATCTGTGCCTAGAATACATAAACAGTTTTAACAAGATATTTGTCGTTAATAAAACATGAATAAAGCGTCTGAAAGTTCCAATTTGTCGTGAAACTGAAGTTGATTCTTTATTAAATTCTTATATTCGTAGTCTTTCTAATGGTGTTTACCGTTCTAGTGTTGTGCCTCAACGATATTTGTGTGTGCTATGTGTTCACTAAATTAATTGCAACTCAGTCAAAATAATTTTTAATTTTCGTATTGTTTTTATGTTTATTTATGTACATTTTAGCTCATTTAACTAAACTTAAATTCCGTAACCTACGACTGTCATAAACTTTCTTTACCTGGCCCATTTTAAATAACAAAAAGTATAGTCTACGAATCGTGTCTTTAAATTAAGGTTAATGATTGCGATCGACATTTCCTTTGCTTCACGAAACGTCTCCATTTAGGGCGTTCGGTCAGTGAGGCACTCGCGTGTGTATTGTTTCGTTAACAATAAGTCGTTGTTAAAAGTGACTAATTTGTTACGTTTGTACGGTGTCACAAACATGTTGTCGGAAATTTACAGACGATTTTCGTAGAAATATACACATATGTACTTTAAAATATTTCCTTATACTAAAATAATGATAGATTTTGCGTAGATAGCCATAAAAATAGCACTTGTTTTTTTAGCAATCAAAAACCTCATTAGTAAATACTTAAGGATAATGAATTAAAAATAAACTACATATAAGTAACCAAGTATAATACATTTCCAGTTCCGAGAACCAGGAAACTTTAACAATAGTATTAATTATGTAAAAAATACAAAGTGTTCAGTAAAAACTAAAGCATAAGGAAATCTTCCACAACAGTAATGAATAAAATTTAAGTTATATGAGTTTTTCGTTGATTTGTAGATAAGTAACGTCAGAATATCCTTATGACCATGCGTTCTTCAGATTAGAGAACTAAATTATACAAAAATTGTGGTGAAATTGAAACACCATGTAGACATTGGTAAATGCCAATAAATGTTTTTGACTTTAACTTATAAATTGTAACTTGATATGTTTCCGTTTTATAATTTTTCCTTAACCGATAAACATTGAAACGATTTCCGTTTCGAGACTTACAAAATTATTATGCAAGATATTTTACATAAGTAACATATCGCGAAAATACGTGGGAGTCTATGGGCCTTGCATAATAAAAAAATGGTATGTTTAATAAGCCGTAGAATGCCTTAAAAACGTTTCCATTTATATTGACTATGTTTTTTTGGGAAATTGTAGGGGGGTGTTCTTTTGGGTCGAATTAAGTTTGATGAAGTCGACAATACTAAAAACTACGTTTCATTAGTTTTAGTTTTAAGAGACTGTCAAACATCGTTGTTTTCTTAGTGCTATGGGATATTTAGAGGAAGTTTCCGATGGTATGTCCGTCAACATACTTCACAAATGTCTCGTGGGCGATACTAAATTGCAGTTCCTCCTCGTCACCTCAGTATCACCTACTACGTGATAGCTGAATACTCGGAAATTTTAAACCACTCATAGAATTGTTTTAGTCATGCTACAAATTTAGTTCACTTGTCAAGTGATAGAGTTTTCAATACACTAGTAAACATGTATATTCCTAGCTCTATGTTTTCATAAAAAGGGATGACAAAATAATTTTGTACAGGTGTTTGGAAAGAACACAAATGTAAATTCATGGTAAGGGTGACGCTACAGCTCCTTTAGTCTGTTTAGTCACGCTATGTCGCGACCGTTTCCTTAAATGGCCGTAGATTAGTCCTGCGCCCGATAAGCAAAAGTTACGTTATGGCCACAATATGGTGTAACTAAACACAAGTACCACAGGAGCATATCTCTATTACAATCATTAGTTACGCTGCCTGAGTTTAACTACTTCTTATTAGCATTATTACTATGTAAAGATCGTAAATGTTATAATTTTTTAAATTAAATTGTATCAAAGTTGGTTAGATATTTTAGACAAATTGTCTTATCTGACCTAATTTTGTTGAAATTTTATTTATACAAAAACAGCCAGTGAACAGCTTTTAGTAAGTCGAGTACAGTAAAATGAGACTTGATCCATGACGTTATAGGAATCTGAGTGGGCAGGTGTAACCCCAATAGTCTTATGTTATTCTACACGCATTGTACTTTATTGTTGTGTATTGTTATATAATTGGCTTATATTAAATCGTGACTAGCTTCCGTGTTTTTTTTATTTGATTATAAAGTAAACATAAAGTATGCGGATAATTACGCGTAGGTTTTGTCATTACTTCAAGGCATGAGGTCAGCGAACGGTGGGAACTTAGTGGGTGGGACTATAAGTAACTATACGTCAAAGCATAGCCGTGCGACAGTTTGACACAATTATATTGCTCAGAATTTATTTCAAATAAATCTAGAGTAGGTAATATGCTCTAGTAATTCACGTCTAAATTAGTTGCTATTTAAATTTTACCCCGATATATTTCAATTAGGCCAAGGATCACTTGTATAGATATCTTGTTTCCTGATTACCTAAGCCCATTATTTACTAATATCGTGCACTTAAATTGCGCTGTAGTTTTATTAAGTAACGACGTATTATAATTAATAATATAACTTTTTAGAGTTCGGCAGAAAAGAAAACAAGTCGATTTACAATCAAAGAACGATATACGATCAGACAGTTCCTGGTAATTAAGATTTGGTATTACGCCTTCTGTGTATTTGTCTGCTTTCAATTTGTCCATTAGGTAGCTTTGGTAACGCAATCCCATATCCGTGGGCGCTACCCACGGCCGCGTGGGCTTCCACGGTACGTAAATCCGCACGAGTAATGTAACCT